ATGATCCACATAAGAGAATAGTACCCCTACCCAAAGTAGTCTACATATTTACAACCCTATCAAAATCCCAATGATTTTTTTTTTGCAGAAACAGTAAAACCTACCCTAAAACTCATATGGAATTTCAAGAGACACCAAATAGCCGAAACAATATTTAAAAAGAACAAAGTTGGAGGTCTCACACTTCCTGATTTCAAACTTACTACACAAGCTATAGTAATCAAAATGGTGTGGTACTGGCATAAAGACAAACAGACTAATGGCATAAAATAGAGAGCTCAGAAATAAACTAATGTTTACAGCCAAATGATTTTCAACAAAAGGTGCCCCAAGATCATTAAATGGGAAAGGGACACTCTTTCAACAAATAGTACCTGGAGAACTAAATATTTACATGTTAAAAAAATGGGTCCTTACCCTAAAACTATTCAGAAAAATTAACTAAAAAATACATCAAAGACCAAAATGTTAAAACTATAAAACATTTAGAAGGAAATGTTGGGAAAAAGCTTCATGACACTGGATTTGGCAATGATTTTTTTGGATATGACACCAAAAGTAAAAATAGATACTTGGAATATATCAAAATTAAAAACTTTTGTGCATCACATGACACAATCAACAGAGTATCTATGCAAGGAAAAGCCTTATAATGGAAAATGATCATTAACAACTTTTAAAAACACATTAACTATGATTAGTGTTTCAGTTGGAGATAGAGGCTTTCCTTATAGATCTGTAAAACTGAAAAAGAACAATGTTTACAGCCTGCACTAACTCAGCAATGCCATAAGCACAATAGAAATTAATTTCTTAACCTAAAGAATATGTTGTAATGAAGTATAACAAAACTGGTAATTTATAAAATATTTTGGTATTTAGGTGTATAATGTGCATTTCACTAAGAATGAGATTCATGTGAAAAGTTAAAGGCTATATAGTATGTATACTATGTGAATTTGATTAATGTGGAAGTGTTAAAATTCTCTTCTCTCACTGTCATTCTGAAATGTCTCTAATGTTACTGTCAGCATCATAAAACACTTAGCAGCTAGTTATGCTGAAATTAAGTACAACCAACACAGATCTGGGAGTCAACATCAAGTATTTTCTGATATTCATACTGGGATTTTTTTTCTTAAATAAAATGAAGATTATCTCATATAACCTAGTCTTTTGTTTGGATAATCCTATTGACTTATACTTACTGTTATTATTTATTCTAATATAGCAGATCAAGGATAATCAGCAAGTTGTACTGGAAAATTAAAAACTTTCATTAGAAATAATTTAACTACCAGACCTAGGGTGGATACAGCAGTGTTCATTAAGAGCACACAGCAGTTGACAGCAATCTTAGGAAGCATTTCTTTAAAACTGAAAGGTAAGTTTACTTCATAAAAGTCTTTTTCTGCATATCCCCAAACCAGTGTGTTAACCTCAGTTCCTTGGTTAGGTGACAGTACAAAAGAAAGTAACTTCTGAGTATTTATTACATCAGTATTTCAATTTTGTGGGAACATGCTAAAGGCACAGTGAAGAAAATAATACAGTTTCAGTCTGACCACATCATGCCATCCCCTTGGAGAATGGCTCCCAGATATAGAACTATAGGTAGTTTCTAATGTCTACTCCATAATAAACTGTTTAAATAAAATTTAAATATCGGAAGTTATAGTTGTGATAAAAATTTCACTTGACTTTAAGTCAAAAATCTTGGGTTGTAAGAAAGCAGTCTTCCACAGCAAATTATAGTGCTACTGGCAGCATATATATAAATAATATGAAAAAAGACTGTTTCCTAAAGCAGGTAACCATGGATATAGGGAATTGTTTATATAAAGATTGTATAACTTAATACACTGTTTTACAGAATAACAGAACTCTAAGAAAATCTTCACCCTCATTTCTGAATATTAATTGGAAGAAACATTTTGGCATTAACTGGTACAAGAATTACTTACCTGTGTTTTGTGCAGAATCAACTAAACAGCTGCAGGGTTAATTTTCTTTTAGGTATGGTCAGAATCAAAATTTAAAGCATCACAAATCCTCAACGAATAACAGTTCTCTTGGAAACTTAGAATTTTACAATAAAGTCATCCTGTTCTAAAAACTTAAGATGTTTATGCGGGACTTTTCTCCTAAAACTAAAAAGTGTAACATTAAAACTTTATAAAAAGAAACCCAGTTAACATCTTTGTTTTTATAAACAAATAAAATGTTATTGACTTTTAAGAATCTAGTTTTAAGTTTTAGTACAAAAATCTGAACTCAAGAATAGTATATGATATGCTACTTTTGACTTGAAAAGTAACAGAATATCAGATCTCTAAAAATGCATCACAGGTACAGATCCTTGAGGGGTCTTTATAGGTTAGAAAAATTATAATCAACTTTCATCAAAATAATTTACTAGAAATCTTTAAAAATATATTATCATTTTAGATGATTTGTGCATTTGGTAACTACTAAAATGCTTTAAAGATAATATAAAAAGCATTTCTCTCCTTTCCTTCCTTCCAACCAAAAAATTTCAAACTTTATGTGTGAGGCATTTTTTTTCTTACATAGTATGTTAAAACCAGCTCCAAAAAACTAGATAATCAAAAGTCTTAAGGTTAAAAAAATAGCATATGGCGCTGAAGATAAAGTAAGAAACTATTTTCTTTTTAACCAAAATACCAGGAATTCTGAACTTTGTATAAATAACACACACAAAAAAACCCCCCGCCATATTTGAAGTGTGGTGTCTAAAATGGAGTAGCACTAAAACGACGACAACAAACCTTTATACTTAATTGAAAAATACTCATTTTTCTTCAATACATACATTATGAATTTTCTACTGGCATTCTTGAATAAAATTAACACACATACTTATTTTTAAACCAATTTACTCTCATCTCTCTCTTGTATATAAGAATCTAACAAAAAATAATCTCTGCCATGACTGCAGTAGTTCTCTGAAATCCCTAAAATACACATTCTTTTGACAAAAAATTCCTAACCCACTATGCACCTTAGTGTATACATTTGAAAAATGATCTAATTTATGCTTACATTGAATGCATGCCCACAGATCCCAGGGATTGAAGAATCTTACTGGCAGCCATCAGCTCAAGGGATGACAATATTCCTGGCATTCATAATCTCAAAAGTTTTAAAGAAAACTATGCACTGTAGTCTTAGAAAAATTTGGATATAGTTCTATTTAAAAAACATACTCATCACAAACAGCTACAAGGGAGACAAATAAGAAAATAGATTGGGTTATATCTTTGTAAACTTGTTCCATTTCAAAATGTATTCTTTAGGGTCAGGGAAATAATCTATAGAAATAAAATTAAACATTTGTTCCCTTTGCTTTGAAAAATATTTACAGTACATAAAACAACATGCTAGAAGTATATACCTGCTTATATTGCTGGCCTGTGATACAGATGAACAAGGACACAAAGGTGCTTAATTATCTGAGCATCTTAAATTTGTATATAGGGAAGTTATTATAGATCGACTATGGAAAAATTAGAAAACATTACTATGAACACCAGCCCTTGTGTAAAACATGACACAAGATGCCAAGATGTTACACATTCACTGTGGTAAAAACTGTACATACATACTCTGTGCATCTGAAATATTTACATTACAATTTTTCCATCTCTCATCATTCTGAGTTGAAAATAGTCTATTTGTCCTTTGCCAAAGAAAGGTGATGTTAACTGATTACATTCACAAAACTTCTTGTTTTTTTTTTTTTTTACAAAATTCTTTGCTAACAACTTCTCATCAATGTCTTTGGCTGGTATTCTCATGAAGAAAAACTCACTCAACTTTGAAAGTTTTGAGCAGATGTTTCCATACCTTTGCTGGCTGGCATTATGATATATATAATAATGATATATGTAATAATAGACCACAGCAGTGTGAAATACGAAACTTTGTAAGTCTATTTTGGTCTCAGAGTGAAGTTCATTTCTTTCATCCAGCCATGTTGTCCCTTATTTGATCAACTCGAAAAGCTAGATCTCTGAAAGAGGGGCGCTGATTTACATTATTGTTCCAGCATTCTGTCATGATTACGTAAATCTGTGAAAGAGAAAATAAACCAAAATTACGATGAACACGAAGTGCCATCTTTTTATTGGTGAATACATGAATTTGGAACTAACTCCCACTAAATTTTCCTATGTAGGCATGTGCCATGGCTATGTCTAGATCCACAGTCTTGATTATGCTCTTTATCTAATAAAAGCTCAGCAAATTAAATCGCATAAACTGACCTGAAATCCTTGGATGAAAAGAGAAAGAAAATACATGATTCCTGTGGATAAAAAAATTTTGTTACCTCGTCTGGGCATCCATCTGGTCTTGGTAATCTTCCATTATTCTTCAGAAGTTCTATCAAATGAAACACAATCATCTGTCCTTGTTTGTCATTGCCAATCATACGCATAAATTCCTGAAACACAAACCCACTTTTCAATGACACATTTTTGGGACCTTTAATTTGAAGAATTCTTTCTCAACTTCTTCCAGTAAATGGGAAAAATTCTGTATATGTATGTTTCCTTATATGTTTGAAACTTTTTAAAAACAGACTTTTAACTTTAAAAACTTCCTTTTCAGTCATATTTCAGAAGAATATTAAATGTGGAACCTCTATAACACAATTTCCATAACTGTAATACACTCAACACAAATTCCCTGAGAAGGGCTCAAAACAAGTGAACTAAAAAATATATTTACTTTGTCTTAACACATCATATTACATCTCAGCTGAAATAAAAAGTTGAATGTAAAAGAAGACATAATAAAAAGAAACTGCAGAATGAATACTTAAGCATAAATGCAATGGAGAGAAAACATACATATGTTTAATATCCATAAAACTAAAGTCTGAACCATGAGCTAGAGAAATATTTGCAATGAACACATCATTTATTTAAATATAGAGAGCTCTTATATATGGTAAGAAAATATAAAAATGAGCAAAGGAAACAATGCCCACACACATACTCACCCTAAATACCCAATAAATATATAAATGATACTGATAGCAGAAATGCAAATTAAAATCAAATAGATGTAATTTCTCTCCTGTCAACTTGGCAAAACTGCAAATGATAAAATATAAAGCCCTATGCACGGCCACTGAGAGTGTAATCTAGTACAGCTTTCCTGGAAAACATTTTGAAATAATCAAAATCCTTAAAGGATGTTAAAAAGCATTCATAACCTTTCACCTATAATTATACTTTTACTCTAAGGTCATAACAAGAGATAAATATGTATAAGGATGTCTACTATGTTCAATGAAGTGTTACTTAAGAGACTGAAAAATGATTGTCCAGCAATTATATCCTTATGATAAAGAAAGCTACCAAGAATTAACAAGTCATATTTGCAGTATTTACCAATATAGGAAAATATCATGCTATAATAGTGAAAAAGCAGGATAGCAAACTGTACAGTATGACCTTTTATTTTATAAAAGAAATCTTTTTAATAAAATTTCACTTTTACATATAAAATTAAATGAAGCCTGGAAGAAAACATACCACAATGTAAAGTGGTAGCTGAATTAGAGATTATTTTTATTTTCTTTCTCATGCTTTCCCATGTTAAAAAAAAAACAAAACTACAAGCAGAAAAAAATATTACTTTAAAAGGTTTAACTTTTGCAATAATTCCTAGAATGGATGAGTTTATTGGACTTAATAAAAATAGTATTAAGAGAATATATTAAATAGTACTCAAATGCCCACTTTTTAAAAAATTCAAGGTAATTTAATTAATAAATTTAGGGTTAATTTGTTGGATGCTGTCTGACAAATAAGCAATAGGAGGCCCTAAAATAACCCTAAGCTTACTATTATTCTTTGGAAAAAGCTCTTCTCGTGTTAAAAAAAAAAATGAAAGTAAGTAAAAAACAAACTGACCGCTGGTGGGCTTTTACTTTTCTCAATATATGTGAAAAGTTCATACAGAACCACTCCAAAGCTCCAAACATCTGAAGCCACAGAAAACTTGCTCTCTGTCAGTGATTCTGGTGCATACCTGTAATATATTTAAAAGACAGTTACTTGATGTGCAAATTCTTGATTTTACCTGCAAATCACTGGATTAAAAAAACCAAGGTGTAGAGAAAAGATTTAACATAATAGGCCTGAGGCTGCTATCCTCAAAAAGGTCTGTTTGCCATGCTGACACTTGACTGGTACCTGGGAACTCAAGATTTCAGTCGGGTTTCTACAATTCCCTAAATGATGAAAGTGGCTCACTGTACCTACACTGCTTCTGCAAAAAATATGGTTTATGCTGAACACCTGCTTTCCTTCTGAGAGTCTGGAATTTGGGTAAGTGCCAGGCAGAGGACACCCGTGTGACCAGTCTCAATAAAAACCGTTAGCACCGAGTCTCTAACAAGCTTCCTTAGTAGATGACATTTCACACATACAGTAACAATTTACTTCTGGGGGAATTAAGTGTGTCCCATACAACTTTACTGGGAGAGGACACTTGGAAGCTTGTGTTTGGTTTCCTCCACGCTTTGCCCCAGATGCCTTTTCCCTTTGCTGATTTTGCTTTGTATCCTTTCCCTGTCATGAGTCACAGCCACAAATACAATGGTATGCTGATTCCTAAGAGTCCTCCTAGTGAATCAGCAAACCTGAGGGTGGTCTTGGGAACCTCCAACATACAAAGATAACTAAAATTCAAAAAATTTAATTTTTGTCTCAGTAATAGCAGGGTAACACCAGAGTTAAATGCAAAGTATCTTCTAAGAACTGAAAAATAACCTGCTCTTTCCAAGTTAAGCTTAAAATGAATCCAAATAAGTATCCTAGAGGAAAAAGTGGCTTTTAAACTGGAAGTAAGACTTGAAACTATTAACATATAAAAGAAATAACCTGTTAATCTGAAAGGAGGTGATTATAAGAGGGAGCACAGAAAATAGAAAGTCATGGGAAAATGATGTCATCATCTACTGAAGCTATCAACATTAACCAAGGGAGAACTTTGGCCAATGGATTATGAATAACATGATTACATTGCTAAATTCATCCTTGTTATAGAGGATGGTGAAAAAGATCTGTTTTAGACTGAGATTTAAAATATGAATTACATAAATTTAATCTCTCCTTCAAAATCCAATTTAACGTTCCTCACTTACAAAAATCTTTCTCTGACTACTTAAAGTCTAATGATCTCATGCTACTGAATTTCCCAAGTATTTATATAGTCTATACCACACAATTAACCAATCTTCTTGCTTTGGCTTTCACAAAAGCACTCTTTGGTAATTTCCCCCTTCATCTCCAAGTCTATTTTTCTCTTTCCCATCACTTATAGAAGAATAAATAGAAAGAAAAAAAGAAGAAATTTCTCAGTGTTGAGAATGGGGGAAAAGACTCTCTTCTTAGAGCATTTACTTTAGAAAACTTAACAATTGTAAATTCTCTGTCTCTTTGAAATGTATGTAAATCTTCCTAAAAGTTTGTTTATTAAAAGCCTCTTGCCAGATTTACCACGAGAATATCTTTCTCAAGAACCTGGGGACCACCTCTTTGGAATGTAATCATCAAGGAAGACTGTGCCCCTACTGCTCAGTTTTGATGGGAGGGCAGGAGCCTAACTTGCAGGTGCTTCCTTCAAGTTGCTAAACTATCTAACGATATGAGAAGCTTTTTTTTTTCCCCTTTGGATAAAGCCAATTAACTAACACAGACGGTCACTCAAATTACTAAGTGAATTTAGGTTGAAATATTTGTGACAGATGATGCTGTCAAGTTCTCCTACTTGAGAATTAGTTAGTTTATCTTGAGAACATGTATGTAATGGGTTGAATCTGCTTGGCCATATAAAAGGGTGAGATTTATTTCAGTTTTTGCAATCTCTTAGCAGAGTGCTTGTGATGCACATTATTTTCTGGATTAACGCTTATTATTATTATTCTCCATCTTCTAAATTTGTGTTTCCCCAAAGGTTCCATCATCAGATCTCTTCCTCTCTTGTCAAAAACTTTCCCTTAGGTAGTATCATTCACTTATATGATAAAGTCCCCTAAATTTATAATCCTATCTTTGGCCTTTCTTTTGTATCTCAGACCTACTGAACATTTCCGTATTAAAGTCCCATAGGCAAAAAGAAAAACTCCACACCCACCTCGCCAACACTTGCTGATTATTTTACTTTCTCTATGCAATGAATGGCCTAACAGTCTAACTCCCCAAACTGGAAATCATAAGAATTACTTCTGACTCATCTTTCACTCTCCAATATCTAATGAGCCACTATGTCCCTTTAAAGTATGTATTAGAAATGTCTCAAATCAACCTCCTAACCCAATACCACTGTTACAGTCTTAGGTCAGATCCTTATCTCATGACTAATACACAGATGTCTTCAAACCAGGTGAAAAGTAGCCAGGGGATATACAAAGATTTTCTAAGGGGCTCTACAGCAAGAACAGTATAAAGATACTCCATGAGTCCAAAACCTTGCTTCAACAATTAAAAAAAATACATTAGCAGAAGCATTTTCCCTTAGTTCTTAATAACAACCCCTAGAACATGCTATTAACTAAAACAAAGACCACATTTGAACAACAAATACAGGTGACAAAGATTCTTTTAAATGAAACTATTTTTTAAAAGACACGATGGCTAAATCCTATGGATAAAAATTACATGTGACTTTTTCAGACTTTAGATTTAATGTACATTATTCAATAAGTTAGCTAAAAATCTATTTTATCAACTCATATTCTGAAATATATATACAAAAATTAACCTCATTTCATTATATAAAACATTTAATATTTTACTTGCTAATATAAAAATAAAACTATATGCCAACTCTCCATCTGATGGTTGTTAGCAGCATATAGCTTTCTTTTTCCTTAAATACATAAGAAAATTCTGTTCATGATGAAAATGATGTTATTTCTGATTTTTATGCAAGCTTCTTATTAGTGATTCCCCAAAGTCAAGCATCAGAGTTCAATACGTACTTCTCCCCTAAAACATTTACTGAAGGAATACCAGGCCATTTACCATATGCCTTACTTCATAAATTATAATCTTAGCTATACTTTATTCTGTATTATTTATTGGAAATTAAGTAATGAGAAGGGATTTATCTTATTTTTATAACTTAATTATAAAAATTATACTAGATATTTATCATCTTAAGCTTATCCTGACTGCCCCTGTGATTAAACTTACCAGATATGCAGGGAGAAATATACGGTCCAAACCTTATATAATTTGGGGGATTTCTTTATGACAAAGAATATAAAATTAGGAATATGAAAGTGATATTTAAAATGTAAAAAGAAGAAATCTTGGAAGGAAGGCACTCTGGTGAATGTGCTCTGTTAGCTCCATTATAAATATGCCTCAGCACATGTGTTTTACAATGTATATATATTTTTAAATAATATTTCATGATATACTTACTTGAATTGCAAAATGAAGTAAGACTTTTTCTGCTGGAAATTAAGCGTAATGTGTTTATGAGGACTGGCACTGCCAAACAAGCTGTATAAAGGACATTCCTCATTATGTGACTCAATCTTTGAGGCAGCGCAAAGGTTTGCCATATTTAAATCATGCATTTAAAACATGAAGAGATGTTATCTTAAAATATTGTATTGAAATATTTTAATGCACATATATGAACAAAGGGTTTCAAAAGCAATGACCTAGATTCCTGCAAAATTTGCCTAACTAGTTTCCTCTCTGCTTGTTAGCCTCTCCTGAATACAATGTCCCTCTATACATCTAGTTCTCAAAACTTTTGGTCTGAGGCTCCTACACACTCTTACAAATGACTGAAATGCCCCCAAAGCTTTTGTTTATGTTGGTTATATGTACCAATATTTAACATATTAGATAATAAAAACTCAAGAAATGTAAAAGCATTATTTCACTAAAAATAACAAACCCAGTAATGTTAACATAAATAACATTTTTATAAAAAATAACTATTTTCCAAAACAAAAAATTTTGAGAAGACCATTGTATTTTACATTTTTTGCAAGTTTCTTTAATGATAGTTTAATAAAAGACATAACTTTTTGTTTTTAAAAATTATTTTTCTATGTTTTTTGAAGGTTACACTCCATTTACAGTTATTACAAAATATTGGCTCTATTCCCCATGTAGTACAATACATCCTTGCAGCCTATCTTATACCCAATAGTTTGTACGTCCCACTCTCCCACCCCTATTGTGCCCCTCCCACCCCACTGGCAACCACTGGTTTGTTCTCTGTATCTGTGAGTCTGCTTCTTTTTTGTTATATTCACTAGTTTATTGTATTTTATTAGATTCCACATATAAGTGATATCATACAGTATTTGTCTTTCTCTGTCTGACTTAATTCATTTACCATAAAGCCCTCCAAGTCCATCCACGTTGCTGCAAATGGCAAAATTTCATTCTTTTTTAATAGCTGAGTAGTATTCCATTGTGTATGTATATGTATTTATATGAATGTATATGTATATATACACACCACATCTCCTTTATCCATTCATCTGTTGACGGACACAGGTTGTAGAAGACAAATTTTAGAGCCTATGGAAAATTCCACTCTTTGCTCATGAAAAATGAGTGAAAAAGGCAAATGACATCTTAGAATTGTTATGAAAATACTTCTGACCTCACACTCCCTAAAAGAAGGTATCAGAGCCCCCAACACTTTGAAAACTGCTATTCTCCACCACAAGTAAAGCTATTTTCCTAAAACATGAATCTCACCATGCTATTCTCCTGGATAAAGCCTCCAATTTTCCACCTACACACTGTCTAATTAATAAAATCTAAACTCATTAACATGGCACACAGGACTTTGTAGCCCCAGTTACTCCTTGTTTGTTCTGTGGTATTACCATTCACTCATAACCCCTCTGATCTCTTGTTCTTGTCATCCTCCTCATGGAATGCTCTTTCCCTTTTCTGTCACTGATAAAATAAATTGAAGAAGGCACAATTAAATAAGAAGGTATTCTATGCTCATGGATTGAAAGGATTAATATTGTTAAAATGTCCATACTACTCAAAGCAATCTACAGATTTAATGTAATTCTTACCAAAATTCCAATGGCATTTTACACAGAACTAGAACAAATTCTAAAATCTGTACTAAACTACAAGAAATACTTTGAGAAAGAGAACAACCTTGAGAAAGAACAACAAACCTCGAGGTATCATGCTCCCTGATTTTAAGCTATACTGCAGAGCTATAATAATCAGAACAGGTTAGTACTGGCACAAAAATAGATACTCAGATCACTGGAACAGAACTGAGAGCCCAGAAATAAATCCACCCATATATAGACAATTAACTAACAACAATGGAACAAAGAACCTACAAAGGAGAAAGGAAGTCTCTTCAATAAATGGTATTGGGAAAACTGGACAGACACATGCAAGAATGAAATTAGACCACTATCTTACACCATATACAAAAATTAACTCAAAATAGATTAACCACTTGAATGTATGATCTAAAGCCATAAAAGTTCCTAGAGGAAATCACACAAAGTAACTTCAATGATTACTGTTATTATAAATATATAAATGACAATCTAGTAGTAATAAGTAGTAAAAATAAAAAATAAAAAAGTCATAAAAATAAAGTTTGAAGTTTGTGCTCTAAAACTTCATTTTATTGTACTAAAATATACTCACCAGAATATAGGACTTTCACCAGGTTCTTTCACCTTGTAGTATTCTTTGTCTTGTGGCAAGACTTTGGTTAAACCAAAATCTCCTATTTTAACTCTGTTTTCATTCTCCACCAATATATTCCTTGTTGCCAGATCCCTGTGGATATACCTTTTTGTACCAAGATACTCCATGCCCTATGGATAAAAATAATATTTTTCTTTCAGCTAGCTTTATGAACATAAATAATTTAAGTGGTCTTATGTCTATCCACTCCCTTCATTATCTAAAAAGAACTCTAAAGGATTTCTTAACAATTATTTCAACATGCTCTCTTCATCTACAACAAATAACCAGGATATTAGGTACCTTGCATATCTGAGATGTATACTGCAGAAGTTTTTTATGATCTATCCGTTCTTTATGTTTTTGGAGATAGTCTCGTAAACTTCCATATGGTAAATATTCCATAATTAATCTTAGATTACGCCGGCCTATTAAGCAAACAAATGAGAATATAATGTTTCACTTTGCCATATTTTGTTGATTAAATATTAGAAAACAACCATAGAGAAATGTCTTAAAGATATACAAAATCTGAGTCTAAAATGACAAAACCTGATTATAAAGGTGATGTAGTAGTTAAGAGCAGACTCTTTCAAGCAGTAAGTTCTAAAAGAATCTTCAAAAATAGTTACGTTTTAGTCTTATCTAATCCTTAAGCAAACCAGAATAAGCTAATGAGAAGACTTCCTTTTTCCTCATCTATACTGAAAAAGCATCTAATTTAAAAATAATATTCGCATAGAAAATATGAGCAAAGACAATTTGTTTCTTTAGAAATGATATTCCCTTGGGTAAGCTTAAGCAAGGAAAGTAACCACCATCCTCAGTGAAGAGAATAATTAACCAAGTAGCCAAGGACTTCCTGTAGTTATACCTTACTACCATAAAGTAAAATCTCCAATCATACAGAATGCTTCTTTCTCTGGGCACTGGAATATTCTAAGTCTAGATCTTAAGGCATCATATGTTTGTTTCTATTACTCAGGATGCCAAAGACATACTGTGATTTCAAAATAGGTTTCAAAGGGCAACCTACCAGCACTGTAGCACACTCCCTTGTACTTTACAATGTTGTCATGCTGCAAGGATTTAAGGATTTCAATTTCCCTTTCAAAGTCTCTCAGGTGCTCTTCAGTACTGTGCTGGAGCTTTTTAACAGCTACCACCTCCCCAGTATTGTCTTGTAGAGGGTCATACCGGCACATCTCCACACTCCCAAAATTACCCTAAACAACACATCACATTAAGACAGAAATCTCAAGTTTTGTAGATAAATTATTAATAAATTCTAATTACACAGGCAATTTTCAGTAGCTAGAATTAGTAGATGTATTTCTAAACTCACATTAGACAACTTTCAGAACTAGAAAAGGAAATAATATTGCAATAGGTGAGTAGTAAACCTATATATTTAATTTCTTCAAAAGGAATTACAGGCTGAAATACAAACAACTTCAAAAAAGCATTTAAACAAATCATAAACATTAACTTTTAAGATAAGGCAAGGGACATACCAGGGGATTTCTAAATTTCTATTTCTAACTTCCAGGAAGAACTGTGCTGCTTCACAATATACCCTTTGATACCACTGCAGTGAGCTGTATGGAATAAGGGTCCTTTATAGACTGAATGTCCATGCCCCCTCCCTCAATTCATATGATAAAGCTCTAACCCCCAACATGAGCCTATTTGGAGACAGAACCTGTGAAGAGGTCATAAAGGTTAAATGAGGTCATAAGGGTAAGAGTTTATAATCCAGTAGGGCTGGTGCCTCTAAAGAGGAAGAGGGTGAAGGGTATAACTCAGTGGCAGAGTGCATGCCTAGCATGCACGAGGTCCTGGGTTCAATCCCCAATACCTCCATTAAATAAGTAACTAACTAACCAAATAAACAAATAGATAAACCAACCTAATTACCCCCACCCCAAAAAAAAACCCAAAACAAAAGAACTGACATAAGAGGAAGAGATACCAGCACTCTCTACCATGTGAGGACACAGTGAGAAGGTGGCCATATGCAAGTACTATGAAAGAGTACATTTAATAAAGAAATACTTGAGTAACAAAGACATACACCATTTTGATTAACTATCTAATAATGTACATGAGGACAAAACTATAAGTATGTTTAATTTAAGGAACTTCAAATATCCATTACATATTTTTAGAAAATAATGGAAAAAATCAGAAATTTAAACTAAATAAAACAGTAGTCTGAATAAGTGAACAGTAAATCAGGGTGTTAACTACCAAAGGGTAGTTTTATAAACTTAAAGTTAATTTTTCTAAGTAACTACCATTTGTGAATATAGGTAGACTAATATGCCTAGGTATTAATTCTTTTATAAAACATATTTTAAGAATGTGATTTACATACATACTTAAATCTAGCTGAGTGTGAATAACTACAAATACTGAATTAGTTAAGTCCAAATTAATGAGTCTTTAGGGTGATATAAAGAATAAGAAATTCTCTCAAAATAGAAACATACTCTAATAATGCCAGATAACATTCCTAAAAATAATTTTATAACATTCTTATATAAAAGATCAATCCATACAGCAAACTTCATTGCTGTCTTCTTTTAAGAAATTGCCACAACCACCCTAACTTTTAGCAACCATCACCCTGATCAGTCAACAGCCATTAATGTCGACGCAAGACCTTCCACCAGCAAAAAGATTACAACTCGCTGAAGGCTAGAAGATGGGTAGCATTTTTTAGCAAGAAAGTATTTTTCATAAAGCTAAGTACATTTTTTAAACATAACACTATTTGTACACTTAAGAGACCACAGTATAATGTAAACATAACTGTTACATGCACTTGGAAACCAAAAATTTTGTGTGACTTATTTTTTGTGGTATTTGCTTTTTTTTGGTAGTCTGGGACTAAACTCGCAATCTCTCTAAGGTATGCTTGTACATGAATAATCATAATGCTGACATTTGTACCAATTCAATCATAAGAAAATCTTAGAAACTATAATCAGTGTGAAATTTAAATAGAGCATATATTTATCATACTGCTTTTTTTTTGAGGGGGAAGATAATTGGGTTTACTTCATCACACAGTTCTAATAATTGTTAGTTTGCTATTCACCTCCTCCAATTAAGTTGCAAACTTTACAGAGGCAATTACTATGCCCCACATCCAGTGACCAGTGAAGCACCTGGTACTTAGTGTGAGACTCAGATATTTGTATATTAAAATCACATTATTTGGGGGAAAAAAAACTTAAAATCTGAACGTAATTCAGACCCTCCCAAAGACTCCTGGTTCCTAAACTGCCCACTGGATTTTCATCTACTGATTTAAAAATTTCTAACTCTAAAAGTGAACGATGGTTTTTCACTTTGGATTTTGGAATTTGAAATACTTTTTTCCTAGAAAACAGCCTTAATCATATAAATGTTCATATATTCACATCATATTAAAAACTGAGAAAAGATAAAAGTACAAGAAGAAAATTAAAATGTGTATTTAAAATAGCCATATCAATTGAAGATAATGAAGATTATCCAGATTGTTGCCATTTACTTCAAATAAGTTGGATTTTATTTTCTGAAACTTTCTCTACAGTCAACCAAAAAATTTTCTGGAAGATATAATGAAACTCATTGAAGGTCAAATCTAAGGGCTAGAGAAATTAAATGGCTTATTCAGAATCACAGAGAAAACAGCTTAAGGTTTTCATGATTTTGTGACTAGTGACTATGTTACTACTTTAATACTAGTGGTTTTGGTCATGAAAATATCTGCATACAACTAACATGAATCAAGATGTATTCAATGTATTCAACCCCATGAATAAATCATATTATACTAATTCCTTCCTTTTTTGTAAACAATTTATTGTTTGCAATTTGAGCCCTGAGTGGGAATTAAAAAATTATTTTCTTTGTCTTAACATCATATGATTTGCCCCAAAAAGATAATAGAAAATGATCATGCAACTGAAGCATACTCACACAAACAAAATCAAGTACATATGTGAATAGAAAAAGCATGGAAATAGGAATAGGGAAAGGCTCTCGTCTCATACCTGCTAATACTAGCTGTTTGCTCACAGGCAACCTACTTAACTTCTCTGGACTTTAATTTTTCTCACTGTGAAATGAACAGGTTACTCTTTAAGTGTGAACTATCACTTCTCAAACTGTTCTAGAGAATACTTTCTATGAGATGTCAGCAGAGAATTTAGCAAGGAAGGGACAAAAGGACTAATAAATTTTGGACAATTGCATACTACCAAGAAATTGATGCTATCAACATAGAATTATGGCCAAGGTCACCCAGTGTGGTTGACAGTCTTCTATGATTATTTCCCAATGTTCTCTACACTCTGACATTCAAGCTCTTTTATAACCCCCTCCCCTTGAGTGTAGGCTGGATTCATTCATTTATAATGAATAGAATATGGCAGGAGTGATAAGATGCCACTCCTGAGATTAGGATACAAAAAAGACCATCACTTCGATCTTGAATGTTTGCTCTTAGCTCCCATATTGTGAGGTGGCCTATGGAGAAGCCCACGAAAGTGAGCTTGGAAGGAGATATTCTGAGGCCTCTCAATAGCCATGTAAGCTTGGAAGTAAATCTACCCCTAGTCAAGGCTTCAGATGAGACTGCAAGACCTGGCTGACACCTTGACTGCAATCTTGTGGGAGCCTGTGATCTAGAACCACTCAGTTAAGTTGTTCCCAGATTCCGGACTCGCCTAGCCTTAGGTGATTAACAAACGTTTGTTGTTTTCAGCTGTTAATTTTAGGGTAAATTGTTGTACAGCAACAGATACACCTAAATACCTGGACTAGTTTTTGTTCTTTTTTTTGCCATTGCTACACTCTTTGAAACATTTCTGAGAATGTTTTACAAACAAGGAAAAACAGCAAAATATGAATATAACTAAGCTAATACATAATATAACCAATGTTTAGCTCTGGTAAAGCTGAATCAGAACACTGAGCTCAGATTCAAGACCTAAGTGAGGCCTCCATAATGTACCCATGCCAAAATCCAATTCAGAAGGCCACATGGTACAGAACCCAGTGCTAGCATGCTTAGAGAAAGAAAGCAAGCTTACCACTATGATTGGACATGCCAAGAACTAATCCTTTTCTGGTCTTACTTAAAATATATAGGCTATGCATGACTGTGTGACCTTTCAGCAGAGAGAGACTCTGTCTGCTAGTAAACATGGTCCAGTTAATATCTGGACTCTGAACAATCAGATTATTTCTCCCTGAGACAACTAAAAATGGAGGTGAGAGAAAAGGCTTAATTGTTCCTTTCTCTAACTCATGACTACAACGCACTCTACCAAAAAAGAGTCCCTTGGTCAAATTATTTGGGAAAAATACTGCCTAAATTATCTTCCTCTTGAAAATGTTCAATGTATATTACATGCTAAAGGGTCTGAGAAGTTCTTCAGCAAAGACAGTAGTTTACTTAACACAGCATTTCTCCAACACCTGACAATTAAACCTTTTTTCTACAAACACTCCTCAAAATTTTGTGGAAAGTGAATTTTAGATAATTTCAAAAGCCCTTTTTCTCCCCTAAATAAAATGTTTTATGATTAACTATTTAAAAATCTTCTGACATCCTACCTTGCCAAGTTGCTGTAGAAATTTCAAGTGTCTCTCTTCAAACTGTGTAGGGTCTCGGTCTTCAAAAGCACCAGAAAACCCTAGGGCACCTATCCTCATATTTGGTAACATGTCATTTTCTGTTAATAGTTCATAATCTGTAGAAATAAAGAATAATACTACCATAACCTGGCAAACACATTCTCTGGGTTAAAATGATATGCATGCAAGCTGACCAAAATAATCAGAATGAGTTAGCAATATTAAATACAAACTGATACATGGCAACGCCAATAGTTTAGATTATGTTAATGAAAGCTTTTAATTATAACCCACAATCTGACAGGTTTTCAATAAAGATTTTTTGCAAAGGATAAATGATTACTTTCCAAAATAGACAGATTTAATATTTATAAAGTAAGATTATATTCTGATTTTTATGATGAGAATGGCAAGTAATATTGGAACAGAAAATACGTATGAGTCAGGCAAATGTATATTTAGCTACATATTTTAAAGGTGAGGAGGACAAACAAAAACAAATCTATGTCATGTTAGAAAATCAATCAGTTATAAATTATAGAGAACTAGTTAAAAAAACAGAATTGTTTTTAAAAAGTCAAATAAGCCAAATAAACTTCTATAGTATATTACATACTAAGTGGCAAACCAACATGAAGTTATTAGAAGGAAAAAATTTTAAAAATGGCGAGACTGCTCAATCAGGGAGATCAGAATACATATAAAATAAGAAAAGTCATATGAATGTAAGAAATTAAAGTCTAAAAGATATCAGGGAACTTTCCAGAAGGGATTACAAAATTAGTAAAGATTTATTAAGTACAACCAAGTTAGAAAGCTGGAGAATCATTAGGATTGCTCCATCAACACATACCTGGAGTAAACAAACTGTTAAGATCTCGAATGATGGCTCTGAAAGAAGGTCTAAAATCTGGTTCATAATCCATACAATTATTAATAAGATTTGCTAATTCTGTCCACTTTGGTGCAGGAAGTTGGTGCCTATCTTCATAAAATTGTAGCTTCTATAATTAAAGAACCACACATTGAGAATAAATTATAAACGTCACCTCAATCTTCTTTTTAACATAAGACGGGCTAAAGAATATCAAATCATGCAAAAGAACTATCAAGGATCACAGAGTAATTCCAACTTCACCACTGATATAAACTTACTCTTTGAGAATCCAAAGCACTCAGAGGCTTATCTCCTCCACTGCAGATTTCCCACAAAGTGGTACCAAAACTCCATTTGTCTGTTGCTAAGTTTAGATTTTTAGGATTTTCAATGCATTCAGGTGGTACCCATGGTATTCTCTCCTGCAGAACTTTTAAATGATAGGAACAAAATATGGTTAAATAGTTCCCACAAATAACTCTTACATACATAAATAATTTTCACACTAATTTGAATAACCAAAGGATTGTGTACGTGTGCACACATGTGCACATGCTTAAGAGCCAGAAGGGACCTTTGAGATCGTGTAATGTCTCAGCTTTAACAGTGACAATATTGAAACCCATAAAGATTAAGCAATTTCACATACTTTGTTAGTAGCAATGGACAGAATTAGAACCCTGTACAATGAATCCTGGATTGACTAAAGTTTTCATTAAGCCATAGGGTCTCAATTAATACCCTACTCTCTCTACCCCTAACTAATAATTGTATATTCAAAAAAAACTTTTTTCCATAAAATTTGTCCCAAATTCTGTATTTCTTTTGTATTCTTGATTTTTTTTGTATTTCTTTACAATGTGTAAGCAGTAAAGGTAATGTTAACATCATTCTGAGCTGTACTAATGACTGAATAGCAGTGGGTATTGTAACTTATAGATGAAAAACTAAGGACCAACAGGAAGATGTATGACTAAATTATACCAAGATGTTCTGAATATGGAATTAGTATAGGTAGGCTCTGCTCGGATCATGGAATTTCCCAGTTTTTGTGGTCTTTGATCCCATCAGAAAAATAGTATTCAAAAAGGAGGACCACTTTAACATTATCGTCTAGTATTCTGGCATAGATAGACAGATAGACAGAGAGACAGACAGACAGACAAATAAATAAGAGTGAAGGATTAACTGTTGTATCTCTTGGTGTATTTTGGTAAAGCAATGTGAATATTTTTGCTGTATAATTAAGAGATTAAAGAGTACAGAGTCCTTTCTTCCTCACCATGTGAATATATATATTCTATTTCTTCACCTCCGATTCCAAAGGGTGAATTTCCCTGAGTGCCAGATCTAAGATCTTGTAACATTATCTGCCCTATAGTCTCTGTCTTCACTGTCATATAAAGGCAGCAAATTTCAGTACCATTGGTTCAAACAGGATACCAGGTATTAATGTACAAAAGTTGATCAATTTGGATTCTAAATTTTAAACATTCAATTAGAGAAATTAGCTAATGTAACGGAATAGAATTATGACACTATTTAGACCTAAAAAACTCCTTTCAATTATTTAACTGAAATTTTTATTTTAATTGTGTTAAGTAGAAGGTTATCAAAAGTTTTTTTTAAAAAGGCTTAAAAAGTCAGAATTAGCTGAATAATTAAACTAAATAAAATTTCAAGCTAGATAATATATCTTCTCAAAGTTTTATTTAGTGGCTAAAGGGGAGAAAAATTTAGAAAGTTTGTGACTCAAAGAATGATATTAAAAAATTTTACATAATGCTGGATAAAATCAGACATTCCATAAATAATTAGGGATTAAAACTGTTTTAAAAAATCATCTTAACGTCCATAGTAACATGCTTATAAGAAAGGAGAAATAGAACAGACTAGGAATGTAACTAAACCTTAATTTAGATTGCTAAAAATGGTTGCTAAATTTTACTATTAACCAAGAACATGTCAATAAAACAGAATTTGAGAAAAAGTAATGCATGCTTTATGCCACTTTCCAAGTAAAGCTTAATAAAGTTAAATTCAATCCCTGTAGAACTTACTGTCCTTTGGCAAAACTGTAATACTAATGCCAGGATCACTAAGTTTGATGAAAGGAGGATTTCCTGTCTTCCTGTCTTCTTCTCTGATAAGAAGAATATTTTTGGCACACACATTTCCATGAATAAGGGTTTTTTCTTCCTATTAAAGTAAAATGCACATATATTCAAACATTAATCAACAAATATTTGAGCACTTAACATGTTCAAGGCCCCGAAGTGGATATAAAAAAAGAAAAATAAATAAGACAGTATAAAATAATAAACATTAATTTGGAGGCATGCTTTGAGATAATAAAGAAAATGTTATGCCAGCACTGTGCTTCCTGTTTTACATTTTAATTCTATACCCATGATGAAATGAATACTTTTAAAAACCATCTAATGCCACTTCACTTTATTAAGCTGAGGTTTTAACAATATGTATTCCTAGATGGTAACTAACTGCAAGAAATTCTGTTTCTCTTCACAGCAGGACACAGGTGCACACTGAAAGGTCTGATCACTGGCTGGCCCTCTGATATTCTGCTTCTCTAGCAACATTGCTTTCTCCATGGACATAACGTCCAACTGCCCACAAACACCATAACAAGGTATTTTCTGTAGGGATTTTTCTGCTACCCATAGTTAGCACAACATGTTTCTGCAAAGTTTTTGTTTTAATTCTCTAAAACCAAGCGACACAAACTACAGACTGTCCATCAGCAACAGCAGTTCTAAAAAGACTGGTGGGATGCCAAAACTATTTCTTTCAAACTTGATTTTACATAAATAAATATATACCTAAAATAATCCCTTTCATCAACTAACACAAATTATTTTAAATGACTTAGCGTTCATTTACAGATTTCTTGCTCCCAGGTCAAAATCCCTTCTACATTGCTTCATAGGCTAAAACAATAGTTGATAAAAGAATATACTAATTACTTACTAGAAAATGCATGGCCCATGCCAACTGTTTAGCCACTTCAAGCTTCCATAATATATTTATAGAATTTTTATTCTTTTTCAGATATGTATCTAGTGATCCAAATTTTACAAACTCCTGAACCAGAATATCTGTGTTAAAATATAATGATAATAATAAGGCTCAAGTACAATACAATAAAAAGTATATAATTTATTAAACTTTTATAAGTATATTTATAGTTATATGTATTATAGGTAAAGAGATTAAACTACATAAAATTCACTAATTTAAAGAAAGCTTAACAGCTACACACCATTGTATATCTGGGTTTTAGTTTATTTAAAACACCAAGAGGTAAAAGTCTAAACAATTATATATACACACAATATTACATATAATTGTAAATTAGATAATAACAAATTGATTATGTAGCTCTAATCCCCAGTTGTGATTCTGCTTGATCTCGTATTAAAATTGGTTAGTTTTCATATGGTATATAACAATTGTTAGCAACAAAAGTTGCCTTTGGACCTTGCTGGGAACTGAAATAAATGCAATGAAGGTTTTATGGCCCATAATTAATGTGGAGAACAATCCACATGCCAATAATTAAGAACTGACTACAGGTAAATTTACATCAGGGCAAGTGTCCAAGGAAAAAAAAAAGAGGAAAAAAGATCTAGGAGCTACAATGAAAAAGAGCTTAATAAAACCTTTTTATGCAGCATATAAGACCTACTGTATTTCATATCTACCACTGTCACATGTCCCATTATTGTATGTGTCATAAAAGTAAAAAACCTGCCAATCAAACTATAACATGTCATCAATCAGAGAAACACAGAACCACCCTAGTTGGGGGTGAAGGGCAGAACTCTCTACTCTGCATTTAGATTTACTCTCCCTTTATCAACTCCATGAGATAACTGAGACACCTCTATGAACAGATTTGAAAACCACTGCCTTTCAAAAGATTATCAATTTTCAAAGATATGAAGAAATGTTATGTAACTATGGATGCATATTTAATCCACATTACTAATGGAAAATGGAGAGGTAACTACATAAGTGATTTTCCGAATGTAAACTTTGGGAGTTTTTATGATAGTCAAATTTAGTGATAGAATGTATCTAATATCTACATCCAGTTATTTCTGTCAGTTCCATTAAAATTCAGTATATCATTTATATGCTTTGTCTTAATAACTTCAAATAAATTTATATTGAAATGCCAGTTATATCAATGTTATGCTGAACCAGCCATAATCTATATTGCTGTGGTTAACAGAAAAGGTTATATTTGTTTACTAGAATACTCCACTGTTCTGGCATTTTAACATAAGGCATATTAAACGGTTTATTGCATTTTAATTTCATTCACTGGTTTCCTTATTTATGAAAATACAACTGAACAGTTCTAGAATATTTTTTATTTCAACTATATTTAACTCCTGTTAAATTATAGTTTATATTGATATCTAACTATGATCCTGAAAATGAATTTTCTATACAAACAAAAATACATGTTCTGAGAAAGGCATGACATTAACGTAAGGAAGGCAGTGGTTTTACTTACTCTCCTCTCCACAGACACACACTCCATAATTTAAAACCAGATGTTTGTGAGAAAGCTGGCTCATCATGCTTGCTGCTTCAAAGAAAGACTAAAGAAAAGAAAAACATACAAAAGATGTAAAAGAATTATTTTTTGTTGTTGTCTGTAAGCATTCATAGCCCAGAAAGATACTGTCTGCCATAAGAGAAATGTACTTTCTCCTATTTTCACCAGAACTGTAGATAAGGTTACAACGTGCTTTGGTCTCTTTGGACTTGCAGTTGCCATCAAACTTGATGATAGAGTTCATTCTCAGGAAACCCCTGAGTAAGCTTGGTATAAGGAGATAGCAATAAGAAAGGGCAACATGAATGATGCAACATAAACAGGCTAAGACCCAAAGCACAAAGAGTGGAGACCAGAGGTACAAATAGGGGTAGATACCAGAGACAGTAATACGGGACTGCAGTAAATGGATGGGAGTTTCAAATAACACTTCATAAAGAATTAAGAATAATCTCTGTGCAGATAAAATATTGAAACAACTATGTCGGTAGACTGGCATGGTATCAACATCACTAACTCGACTAAACTTGACTAGCACTTCTGGGTATGGTTACTGAAGATCACAATCACCAACACTGTGGAGTTCTGGATTAGAACAACTCTTCAGTTTATATGTTTCACATCATTTTCCACTAAAATCCTTTAAGACATTTTAAGTATCATAAATGTTTGTTACATCATATTTGGTGATATTCTACTATGCTCAGGACTCTGGCAATTGACAGCTGGGTTTCTACCAGCTAGCATCTCTGGTTGATGCCCACATTTCACCTAGAGTGTTCCTCAGTACAGTGCTTTTCAAAAAAAAAAATTTTAAGTAGATGAAACTGTAGAGGAAATCTGTGGAAACCATGAAGCTCTGGGAAGCCAAGTTTAAAAACCACTGCCTCAGTAAATGCAAAGATGCAATAAAACCCATAATACAATACTAAATAATTAGTTTGGAAATAACGTATCATAAAAATATTCTATAATTTTTAGCACCACCAGAATGCATCCTTAGAAAGGTCCCTGATATACATACACTTTAAAAATTACAATTTTGAAAAGCTGCATGCATGAATGTATTACGTGCATATGAGAGCACCTCTCTAAGTATTATAAACTACATGAACTATGCAAAGAATATACAAACCTCTGAATAGTTTCTATGTGTTTTATCCAGAACTTTTAAAAGAACTTCTGTTTCATGCAGTTGACCGTAGTCTCCTACTTCCCTTCTTACGCCTTTAAAAATTTTTGTAAAAGTACCTTGGCCAAGGCTTTCATTCTTTAAAACAAAAAAAGGAAAGAATGAATAAAGATAGAGAAAGATGCAAGAATAGGAACTATGTTCAATCATACAGTTTTTAAAAATCCATGAGCAAATATTTCCTTTACAAATTAAACCCAGATTTGAGACTCTATATTAGTTATATTCAGCTTCCTTCACAGTAATAAAAGAAAGCAAGGATTAATGAATAATTGTGTTTCGATTCTATCCTATTCTTAAGCGTCCTAAATTAGCTATAATTACCACTTTTTATAATGTTAGTGTTTACCTTCATTTACTTACATGTGAATCTTTTTCTTCATTTGCCTTTCCTAATAGTGCAACAGAAAGGCAGCACAGTATGGTCTCTGCAGGCAGAATGTCTAACCTGTTCTTTATTAGCACTTACTAGTTGTGTGACCTTGTACAGGCTATTTACTCTCCCCATGCTGCAGTTATCTCGGCTTCTTCATCTGAAGAATGGGAATAATAACTATTTTTCCATAGGATTGTTATGAATAAGAAATGAATAAATAGAAGAAAGCATTAGTCTACAACATAGTAAATGTTGGGTAAGTGTTAGCCACTACTAGTATTAGTAGTATTTCTTGCATATCCTTACAGAATCATTGCACTCTGAAGCAGGGCTGCCTGCATTCAAATTAAAGCTCTAATATTATTAGTTTTGTAATGTTGGTCAGGTCACCTGGCAATTCTCTACTTCTTATTCACATAAGGATTCATATCTTTATAATTCTGGATAATTCTGTCTATTGTCTTCTTAAGGAACTTAGACATCCGTTGGTCTTTCTCATTCTACTCTGAAAGCCTGTAAGTTCTCTTTCATAAATCCCATTTCTTTCTCTTTATCTGCTACATTTGAATAATTTGCAGATCTAGTTTTCAACTAATTCTCCAACTATGAGTAATCTGCTTTTTTAACTTGTCCATTTTTTAAAAATGTCTGCTAACTAAAAATTGGCACTTGCCATCTGCCTCTACAAGGATTGAATCACGTTGGCACTTGCCATCTAACTCTGCTTGGATTAGATCACAAGTCGCTGCAGCTGCTGACCTCCAACACACCCTGAAAGGAGTTCAGGATGGAGGTGAGGAATGAGGTGCTCCGTGCTCTGGGAAAACTGGATGAACAGGCTTTCAGCTAGTTAGATACTTTCAGGAGATTTTATGACCCCAATTCTTGCGTCTCTTCATATCTAGAAAAGGACTAAAATTATTAATGGTGACATCTGTTCCTTGTGACTAACCGCAAGGCTCTGCCTAAACATGTGCTTGACTGCACGTGCCCCCTTCACTGAAATCATATGTAATACTGAACAGTTTCTCAGAGCTTTCTGAGATGCTATCTCCCAGGCTATAGTCCTCATTTTGCCCCAAATAAAACTTAACCCAAAACTCTCACATTGTGTGATTTTATTTCAGTCGACATGTCAATGAAATCTTTTTTTCCTCCAAATCTTTTTGGACTGTTTTTGATGATGTCTTGTTTTTTCCCTATGTTTTCAACTCCTTTTTAATTTTTAAACACACACACACACACACACATACACATATGTATGTATGTATGTATGTATATACATATTTTATAATCTCTATCTGAAAAGTCTGTTATATGAAGCTATTCGAGTATAATTTTGATTTTTTTTGGTCTTCTGATTTTTGCTTAATCTTGTATTATTTCTCTGTTTTAAAATTTTCAATTAAAAGCTCATGTTTGAAGTCATTTTACCTGTGGGAATCTTGGGTAGCCAAGGTTAAGACTATATTCTTTCAAAAAGATTACACAGTTGCTTTTGCCAAGCTCCACAGGGTGTTAAGGGGAGCACTACTTGTTATTTTAATTCAACTTACTGGCTTAGGGTTTTCTCAGACCCTGCTGGTGACATAAAGAAACCCAAACTCAAAAGCTTATAATTACAAATTCTCAGGAGAGACCTTTTTTCCTAAGAGCTCAACTAAAACAAACAACACTCTTTTTCATCTCTTTTTGCTAGTGGGTGAATTTTGCACAATCCGTATATTGTTTTACTGAGGATGTATTTACTTGAAGGTTCTGGCTTTACTCAGAGATGGTCTCACTATTAACTCCTGGCCTTGGCCCCTTTTTGTACTGCTTTTAGATCTTAATTCCCTTCATTGGTGAGACTAATCCCGATCCCACAAAACGTCCTGCAGCCAAACATCAGCTCTATGTACTTCTTTGTTTTCAGTACCTTCTTTGAACTTCCCTTACTTTCTCGAGAACTTGAGAATTAAGATATTCTTTTAGATGAAGACTTAATTTTTAATTAAAAGTTAAGATTTATAAAAAAATTTTTAATTCCTGAGAAGAAAATACAATTCTATTCTTAAAATAATTAACTCAAGTTTGGTATCCCATTTTCACAAGACAAAAATATTTGAACTGCTAGAAAACTTCTATAATATATGTTATAATAAAATAGTTTCAAATGTCACATGAATGTAACATGGGGGAGAAAATTAAGAAAACAGTTGTTTTAAAAGGACAAAAACACAATAATCAGCAGCTAATGACTTACAAACATCAAATCTTCATTTCTGATTTTGTGGAACACCATTTGGTTCACATTATTATGTCTCTGTAATGTTGGTGACGTTGGTATATCAGAAATACCATTGGTTCTGAAGACTAGAAGGTTTGATTTATCTGTTAAAAAAAAGAGAAAGAATGAAAAAAAAATGTGTGTGTATGTATGTGCATGTGTCTGTGTGTCTGTATGTGCGTATATATATAAACCAAAACACACTGAGGATATAAATTGCTCTAAAGGGATAAAATAAAATGTGTCCTATATACAACAAATACTTAACAATTTCTTGTTCATATTTTTCATTTTTTTCATAGAAAATTATTTTAGGAGCTTATTCATTGATGTACTCTAACTTTGATCTACTCTAACCAGTTATTTCATATATTCAAAATTATAATCCCTTCCTCAAATAATATAATTTTTAGGAATTTTAATAACAATTTAAATATGCCTATTATTTCAAGGAACTTCCAACATTACTATCTTTACTTTAAAAGATAATGTAAAAGAAATTAAAATTTTAAAAGACTATGAAAGTTTTTACTTAGAACATATGAGAATTTGTTAGTGAGGTCTTTCAATTTAGTAAATAAGTGACTTATTGATACCAAGAAATCATTACTTTTTAAAAATATTTTAGAATGATAAAACTTTAAGTCACTTCTAGACAACCCAAACCAAACTGAACAATCTTATTAGAGGATGCTTGTACAAAATATGAGGAAAAAATTAATTTGTTTTTGGAGCTTCTTCTTTCCTATCTCTTTTGAAATCAATATACTCAAGCTATCTCCCACCATATACACAATCCACAAACATATTTTTAAGATAACTAGAAAATTATTTTACCTTTTGGCTTTGGGGGACAGCATTTAGTAAACTGGAAGATGATACTGTCTGAGCGAACAGTTTCCATCTGGTAGCAATTCAAAAGATCTTTAAGATTATTGAAGTTCTTCTTAGTACCACTGAGGTTGTATTCTCCATTCTCATTTTTTGTAATCAAACAGTGCTTATATTCAATGACATTTTCTCGCTATGTTTAATCATTAATAGAGGGAAGGAAAAATCACAATGGATATAATAGTGATTACTATGACAAAAAGGATATAACACAAACAACAGGACATTTAGACACCTGAACTGTGAATCCTAACATAGTATCAGCATAGGACGATAAAGGTGTCTGGCTCCTCAAAAAGGCATCTAATTACATTGCAGAGCATACAGAAATAGCTTAAGAGTTATTTTACTGAAAGGCAAGGAACTACTACTACTACTACTACTACTACTACTAGTAATACCACCACCATCCTTATCAGCTTTCTATCATTTACAAGATAAAAATCTAAAACTATTTTAGCATACAAGGGTTTCCATGAGGTGGCTTCTTCCTCCATCCCCAACCACTGCCACTCTCACCATACAATCCATGTTCTAGCTATACTAAGTGACTTAAAAAATTTCAAGCAAATGCCTTGATATGCTGTTTCATGCCTTGGTAACTGTACATGGTATTTCTCTACAGAATGTACATTCTTTCCTTTTGAGCAGTGGACTTTTATTCAATCCTTAAAACTCAGTTCAATTTCCACTTTTTCTGTGAAGTCTTCCTAACAACTCTTACCCCATTCCACAAGGAAAGGTGATTACGTATTCCACTGTGCCACTACTGTGTTTATAAAATTACCTCTAGTATGGTAATTTTAACGTTTTTCAGTTTTTCAGTGTTTGTCTTACATGCTATACTAAGAATTTGCTCATCACCTATTTTTTTGAACTCCTTCTTATAAGCATATTCATAAAATCTACCCAGTATCTCAAGGTCAATCTCAAGTCCTTCCTACTCCAAAGGACCTTTCTTAATAATTATAACCTTTTCTCTTATTGTCTATATTTGCTTACACTAAATAATACTGATAATAAACAATGCTCAATTTAGTATTTTTTTTGGAGAGACTTGATGAAATTTGACACACTGGTAACACTCAAACATTAAAAAATAAAATAAAATAAACTGCAAATAAAAAGACAGTAGGACATTACAAATAATTTTTAATGTAAATCCTAGGAATTATATCTTATTTATCTATGAAAAATCCCTGAGGTAAATTAAGTTTATTTAACTGCTAGTTATCATATTCAGAGCTATAATTTGAAACAGCAAAAAAGGAAATATGGTAGATATTATGAAGGGGAAATTCTATGGACTAAATAGAGATGTTAGCCATTAATTAGTGTGATATACTAACCTCAACAGCAAAAGTCAGAAAATATTTATTAAAATCCTTAGGACTGCATCGAAGTACATAGAGTCCAGTCTGATTACCTGCTTTCTTCAGTTTACTGATAGCAAAATCCATTCTAAATGTAAGAAATAATTTGAATGTTAATGCAGCAAGAATCATAACATTATGACCAAAATGTCACCTAAAAGATCAAAAGTCAAATCTAAAACTCTCAGAATTTTTAGACGTCCCCTCTACTTTATATGTTTATCAATAATCTTGCAAGGTTAAGTATTAAAGTGCCAAGCTATTTTGCAGTATGTTCAAACCAATTCAGGGGGCAATTATATTGCTTTAAAAACAATGTATTATAAAACATATAAAATCACAAAGAACAATTTATTCATTTGAATTTTTTACCTTCTGATTACAAATTTAGTATTTTAAAAACCATACTCTCATAAAACTTCATTTAACTATACTTTAAATGTAAAAGTATTATTCTGTTGAGTAAAATCTTCTTTGTAACTCATTTAGTTTACTTTTAAAGTCTGCATTACTCACGAAATTGGGCCATGACAGTTGCTTTGAATATTTTCAAGTACCATTGGAGGAGCTACTTCTTTACAAAGATAATGATGTGCATCTGCAGTTAATCTATAATATCCGTCAATTAAAGACACAAAAGACAAAGCTTCTCTTAATGAGCTAAGTTCAATTTCCTAAGGGGAGAAAAGAAAGAGAAATAGTAACATTTAAAAAGTCAACTGTATCCTACAATGGATTAAAATCTAAGAAAAAGAAGGCATGCTGATGAACGTTGAGCCCCATGTTTTCTAATTTTGGTCATATAACCCTGAAATGGTCAGACAGGTAAATCACAGAGATACTTAAGTTAAACAGACAAATAACATTAATGTTTAAGCCAAAAGCTCAAGAAATATCTGAATTAAAAAGAAAACATCCAGATAAATAATAAACTTAAGATCAGAGCATAAAGGAATTCATCTCTTCCCTTTAAATTAAAGTAAATGGAATTTCTGAGGTTATTTTTAAAAAGGAAGGGTTAATCTTTTAGAATCAAACATGTCTCACAGTTTGGGTAGGGCTCACCTGGGAATGGTTTACACTTTGTCATATAAATAGGTGGTATGACTAGTATTATGCACATTTCTATTAGTAAAAAATTTAAAAAATAAAAGACTATACAGTAGTCCCTTCGTCCCTCCATATCTGTATGGGATTGGCTTCAGGACTAACCCTCTGCAGATACCAAAATACGTGGATGCTCAAGTCCCTTATATAAAATGGTATATTATCTGCATATAATTTATGCGCATCCTCCTGTATACTTTAAATCATCTCTAATACCTAATACAATGTAAATGCCATGTAAATAGTTGCCCACACACGATAAATTCTAGTTTTGCTTTTTGGAACATTCTGAAATGTTTTTCCTGAAAACTTTCAAACTGGGGTTGGTTAAGTTTGTGGATGTGGAACCTACAGATACAGAGGGCCGACCGCAGTCAGGAATGAGCACTACAACAGGGAACCAGCACAACCAGGCAGAAAGGGTAGCGGAGGAAGGTTACTGGTACTTTGCTAATCGCAAAAATGAATGAGAAATACATTAATGTACAAGAAATTCTATGGGAAGATAGTGTTGACAGTGATACAAAAAGCTTGATTAAATAAAAAAGCTTACTAAAGTCATGTTTATATTTACAGTTATATTTAAAACTAATCAAAATCACTGTAAGAAAATAACTTTGGTATTAAGATTCTGAAATACTTATTTACAACAACTGTAAAACATAACCATTATTTAATTATAAAGCAAACGTACCAGACTTTTACCATCTTGCTTATGAATAGTTACAATTCTGCTTTCATTTGAGCCTTCTTGGTTTGCTTGTTTAATACTGACATCAATAATATCAGGAAAATCACAATATAACTGTAAACCCTGTAGTTAAGAGCAGTTGAAATTAAAAATAGACAGAATTTATGGTGCCATTTTAAAACAACACTTATGAAAGCAATAACATTCATTCCAAATTCTTTAAGAAAATTATTGACAGCAGTAGATAAGCATTACATGGGATTCTCTCCCCCAATAATCTAACCCTAGGACTACACTATTTCTTACTTTGACTTAAAAGTGAGAGCATTAAAGGATGCCAGGAATCTAAAGTGTGCTGTAGTATCCTTCAATCCAATCAATATTAATAGGGAAAAACTGTCAGAAAGTTGAAAGTTCACCCAAGAATGAAGATAAAAAATAAATATCTGATAACATCCAAAGAATAACACAGTATGAACAAACTTGCAATGCAAATCTAAAAAAATCTAAATTATTTAAGTATATGTCATCATAAAATCAGTGAAAATTAATCTTTTTCCATAAGTAAATTTCATGATTGTGCTTACTATTATCAATACTAGTATAAGAAAAAAGCACAACTACTTTAAAAATCACTTTTAGAATTCAAATCTTTTCTGAAACTGTAAGAACACCATTACTAATTATTTTGTCATGGAAAATTAAATAAAAAACCACTTAAGATCAATGAGAAGAAAACCACAGATATGAACTTGACGATGTTAAAAAAAAAACTTCCACTTTCATCAACAGTAGAGAAGTGCAAGACCATGTTTCAAGTGACTAAAATTATTTTGCTTCTATTGCCATTCTACTTAAATTATCAAAGAATGAGAACATATCATTGAGGATTACCTGTTCTGTCAGTGTCTCACTTTCTTTATGTTTCCCTCTTGACCACTGAATTCCACCGTTTCCAGTTATTACAATGGTTGCAAAAATCTCCTCACCTGAAGGACCTCTTCCAGGTTCTTTTACTTCAAATTGCTCTGTGTAGAAGGCAGACTGAAGAGTTTCCAGATTTATAAGATACTTAAGTTTCAAGTTTCTGGCAGTGGCTTTGCAATGGCTGAACTGCTCAATAAATCGGCGAAATCTGTACCTTATTCGCTTCCTTGTCAAAATATGATAGTCCTGGATCTTTGCTCGGACACATTTTGGTAAGAATGTCTTGTAGCTAGGGATAGAGAGCACACAAGCAAAACAAATTGGAACAAAACAAAACTGAAAGAGAAGTTACCACTGTTCTCCATAATAAGTAACTGGTCGGCAGAGGAGTCAAGTGGATAAAGGTGACACACTCACCATCCATACAGTATAAAATCTTCAAGGGTTTTTATTTGATGATGTGAATGTATTTACCAATTCTGAGTTACTGTAAATTTTTAGAAAAGATGTTAATTTTCTTCCCCCAATGAAATAAAGACTTAGCCTAGTTAACAATGGAGCCTTTAAAATTTTATTTTCTCTTATTATCTTATATGCCATTTTTTGGCACTGTGTTGCCAAATATATTTCCTATGATGCTATACACCAAAATTTATCTGAATTCCGGAAGTTGTTACATTTTGTTAGATACTACTGATAGCCATTAGACAAACATACTTCTTGTGTATACATTACTTTCTCAGGCCAGCTTCAGTAACTTCTAAATTCCTTCACAATCAAAACAATTCCATTTGGAAATGTTTTAACTCTTTTGTACTTCCACCTCTATGTAAAATATCCTAAAGAAAGTAGATAACTTCTTTCTCTCCTGCTAAAATATCTGACAAATGAAGAACATTTTAGTTTTGAAGGTACAAGTATGTTAAAATTTCCATGCCTTCACATATGCTAATCCTTCTTCCCATCACCCGTCTTATCTGGTTAGCTCTTACTCATTCTGCAAGTCTCAGCTCCAAATATCAATTCCAGGAAACCTTCAGGACCTCTATGACTCCATTAGATGCTCCTCCCTTTGTCTGATAGCATTCTGTGCACCATTCCATAATATCATTATCACAGTATCACTTATCACAGCATATTATACTGTACTTGAGTGCTGGAGCTGGTTAGTGCTGAGAAATTACCATTGTAAGTTAAAGATTATTCTATAATTATTTTATATTTAATTTTATTTTACATTTTACTACCATCTACACTTCTGAAGTTATTCATGTCTATCACATCGGAGTGACAGAAGGGTTTGTTACTGCTCATCTCTAATTCTGCATTCAGTGATGTCAGGCTGATACTTCGAAATTGGCCATGGCGAGGGCATTTACACCATGGATATCAGCAAAAATTACAAACAAATCACCTTTTTTTTTTTTTTGAGAACTAGTGCTAAACATTTACCAGTACACCACTGCTTACTTACTCCCTTTCCTCCCTACTCTAATACCCTTAAGGAACTCTCTCAGTTTTGTACTCAAGTAGCCAAAGCTGCTGGAGAAAGTCATTTAACAAGGTAGATGGGTTGTATTGTAAATTCATAATCACTAATTTTAATAGGATTTTATCACTACCATCACTTTTATATTTCTCTTTTCAATTAATTTTCCCATGTCCCACAATTATGTCAAACCTTCTCTAATTTCCTCACACTTCCTACCTTTCTTCTGCTTTAAGCCCTAGCTACAACCCTCCTCACTTTCAGCAAATTACTTCATCTCTTTCCTAGGGGAAAAATAGATCTTCTAAGCAGAGCTGCCTCAATATCTTGCCAGCAAACCTACATACATCTGCATTCATTCTCCCCTCCTTCCCACCTATTCATTTCTTGAACATGTACTTACCTCTACCCTCTCTCTTCCTCTAACATAGATCCACCCTCTGGGGAGTTAGTTATTTATTATTTCTCTTCTATCCACATGTTTTAAAAATACTAATCTCCCCATCTTTGATGTAATGTCTCTCCCTCTCTCATCTCCCTCCAGCTATAGCCTATGTGGCTTATTTTTCAAAGGGTTTATAGAGCCATTTCCATTTTTTTCCTTACTCCTGAACTCACTCCAATCTGACTTTTGTTCCATCATTCCATAGAAACTGCACTTGCTTAATCAAGAAAAACTTCCATGTTGCTGAAACTAAATTCCTTATTCATTTTATTTGTCATTTTCAGCAGCATCCAACGCTGTTGGTCATTCTCTCCTTGAAATTCTCTCTCCTTAGGCTTCCTGATTTTATTCCCATCTCTTTGGCTACTTCTCAGTCTTCCTTACAGATTCATTTCCCTTTAGCTGGTGGTTTTGTTGGAGTTCCTCAAGATTTAATTATGGGTCCTCTTCTCTTCTTATCTATACCTTCTTTCTCTCTAGATACTCTACAAGCAAATGACTAATATCTCTACCTCTAGCCCAGACTTCTAAGCTCCAGACCCGTATCTTCCACAGTTAAGTCAATCTACCCGTTTAACATGGATGTCTCAAAAGCACCTCAAACAACGTGTCAAACCAAACTCATGATTCCTCCTTACGTGCTCCCTAAAAGATCCTCTTACAGCATTCCTTATCTGAGTAGATTCAAAAACAGCACACAGTCCATCTACTTTTGTAATCCCCAGAAACTCAAGAGTCACTCTTTACACCACCTTCTCCTTCAACCCCCATTATTCAATCCATCACCATATTTCCTTGATTTTACCTTCTAAATATTTCTCCTATTTGCCCATTTTTCTCATTACTAACCCATTCAATTGTATCTCCTGGAGGAACTACTGCAATGCCCTTACTCTCTGGTCAACACACTTTCCACTTGCTCTTCCAACACTCTGATTTGTTTCCTACACTGGAGTCGTGGGGATCTTTTAAGAACACAAATCTAATTATATCCTTGCTTAATACTCTACATAGTTTGTTAGTGTTCTTAAACTTATCAACATGACACTAAGGTCATGGTCCAGCCCCGGCCTCATCACCTACTAAGTCTAGCCATACTGACTCTCTTCATTCTTTCTATGCTCCCTTCTGCTACAAGGCGTCTTCCATGAGTCTCTATTCTCTAACATTTACCTCTCTCTACCCATTAAATTCTACTCATTTTTCAGATCTAAAAAGTCCTACTCTGTTCTTTTCCATGGCAAGTATATATTTGCAAGTAAACAAATATATAAAATTTAATAAAAGTATGGATAGCATAAAGGAGAACCTCAGTAAGTTTAGGGAAAAAAATGACAAAGTTTAAAAATACAATCAGAATGCAAATGATTCCTACTTTACCTACTTCTGTCAAAAACATTAGTTACACCAAGAGCCTTATTAAATCTGGAAAACAATTTTTGCAAACAACAATGGCTACTTGATTTAATGCTTTGAAAGTTTATCTGGAGATAAAAAGAGGAGTTTAAGATAACAACATACAAGTCTTTCCCTTTTGATGCTTGGAATAAAAAAGCAGACATACATCCTTTGGGAATAACATAGGAGTGAATGGTGCTTGAATATGGTGAATACATTTCAGCGTCATGGTATCAGAATTAGACTTGTTAGAAACACTAAAAATTTCCAAGAGACAAAGTTGTTAACTCTTGAAGCATAAAAACATTTTTGCTGATGCTTTTCTTACATTGAATTTTTAAAGTATCCTAAAATTGAGGCCCTGAAAGGCTCTGAAATTGAGCCTTGCCTTATATACTACTTTCTGTACCATAAAATGAAACCTGCCTCTTATTATTACAACTGGAGTAGACCAATGGAAACTCTAGTATTTGCTTAGGTGTCTAGAAAGGGAATCTAGTGATATGAGGTATGTAGCTCAGTTGCTATGAAAGTAACCTTGGCCCTGGCCTATTATTTGCAAATTCAGCAGAGTCTCCTTTAAATTCTTTCCATTCTCCAGTTCTCTTCTTCCCACCCTGTGGCAAACGAAGGATTTTAAAGAGCAAATGAAGAATGAAAACAGAAAAATCTTACTCGTTTCATTTACCTTCTATAATTCGACACCTAAGCCACAATGTCCAATTAGGAATTGGCAAAAAGAGTAAATAACTAATACATACACAAAGAGATGCACGAACACATATATAAAGGTACATATGAACACATAGAAAGAAAGCATGTGCTCACATACACAGAGGCACCTAACACACAGGCACAGACACCAGAGATGTATTTTACATGCATTTTTTAAGTCTGGGAAAGAATATGTATTTAGTTATACTAATCAGAGATCCACACGCTATTGTTTCTAGAATGTTTCTAGGAACAAAGCAGCTTATGTCATGCTGCCAAGATCTAATCATTCATCTGTTCTCCCATCAATTCTGAAAATTTAACACTGAGTAGAGTTTCTTGATTACTTCTCAGAAATGAGCATCAAATGAAAATTCAGGAAACATCAGTGAGTTAAATTACATTAAGAGGCAAGTAAGTCGGGCATGTTTTTGCTTCAGTACTGGCACAGACTATTTAATATTAAAATATCATGATACCAAAGGAAAAATAAATGAGATTACTTCAAATGTAAACTCTTGTGCTACAAATGACAGTTCCAAGAAAATGGGGAAAAAATCCCACAGAATAAGAAAAATATTTAAAAATCATATATATGATAATTTACATATAGAGACCTGTATCCAGAATACATAAACAACCTTTACAATTCAGTAATTTAAAAATATTGAATTGTACAAATAAAATGGGTAAACTTTATGATATGTGAATTATACCTCAATAAAGCTGTTTTAAAACATCCTAGAATCTTATAATGAATTTTAAGACTTATACAAATTTTAAAGTAAAACAAAGAAAAAATGATACAGAATTTTGCAGATGTATTTATATCCTGGTAAAGATAATCAGAGAAATATAATAACTAAACATTCACTGGTTTTAGAACACTAGACATAATTCAGGGAGAAAAATAAATAGATGGCATGATTCCGGACCTCAAAGAAACCACAATCTACACAGAAAGATTGTGCCAAGACTCTGGACAATATCATGGTCTCCAAAGCAGAAGTGTTCCACTATAGCTTAAGCCTAGAGATGGCTTCATATTTAAAAGCTTATTTTCAGTGGCTCAAAGCTTCTCTATTCCTTTCAACTCCTTTTCTTCAACTGTGTTCCTTTCAATTCCTTTAGTTTCTATTAACGATATCTAAGATATTCATCCCCAACTGTGTTCTACTATGGTCTTGCTATAGCAGGTATTCAATAAATAGCTGTTAAATGAATGAACAAATGAATAAATGAATGATTGAATGAATAAGTTAATATCCTAAGAAGTGTTTGTCTGCACTTCATAAATATCAACTTCTTAACTGAATTTGTTTATTTTGCTTTTATTTTCTTTGGTTTAGGAGACTGATTCAAAAAATACTATAAGATATCAAAGTAAAAAATTGAATTTGACATAAACAGAGGGAAAGATATATTGTATTCTTGGATTAGAAGAATTAATATTGTTAAAATGACCATATGACCCAAGGAAATCTACAGACTCAATTAAATCCCTATCAAAATACCACTGGCATTTTTCTTAGAACTAGAATAATTTTTAAATGCTTATGTAAACACAAAAGATCCCGAATAGCCAAACAATCATGAGAAAGGAGAACAGAGCTGGAGAAATCATGCTCCCTAACTTAAGACCATACCACAAAGCTACAGTAATCAAAACAGTATGTACTGGCATGAAATAGAAAGCCCAGAAATAATCCCACACATTTATAATCAATCTACAACAAAGGAGGTAAGCATATACAATGGAGATAAGGCAATCTCTTCAATAAGTGATGCTAGAAAAACTGAAGAGCTACATGTAAAACAATGAAATAAGAACACTCTCTAACACCGTATACAAAAATAAACTTAAAGTGAATTAAAGACCAAATGTGAGAGCAGATACTATAAAACTCCTAGAGGAAAACACAGGCAGAACACTCTTTGACATAAATTGCAGCAATATTTTTGGTCTTCTAAAGCAAAGGAAATAAAAGCAAAAACAAACAGAACCTAATTAAACTTAAAAGCTTTTGCATAGAAAGGAAAGCATTGACAAAACAAAAAGACAACCTACCAAATGGGGAGAAAATATTTGCAAATGATATGATTGATAAAGAATAAGGGGAGGGAATAGCTCAGTGGTAGAGTGTGTGTTTAGCATGCACAAAGTCCTGGGTTCAATCCCCAGTACCTCTTTAAAAGAAAAAAAATGTTTTAAAATACAAGAAGTTTCTTCTGTATAGCACAGGGAACTATACTCTGTATCTTGCAGTAACCTAAAATGAAAAAGAATATGAAAACAAATACATGTATGTGTACCTATGACTGAAATATTATGCCGTACACCAATTGACACATTGTAAACTGACTATAGTTCAAAAGAATATTTTTAATTAAACCCCCAAAAAATCAATATCCAACATACATAAACAGCTCATACAACTCAGCCACACACACACACACATAAAACCCAAATAAATAGATTAAAAAATGGGCAGAAGAACTGAATAGACATTTTTCCAAAGAGGAAATTTAGATGGCCAACAGGCACATGAAAAGATGTTCCACATAGCCAATCATCATGAAAATGCAAAGCAAAACCACAATGAGATTATCACCTCATGCCTATCAGAATGGCTATTATCCAAAAAGAACACAACATTTGTTAATGTTGGCAAGAATGCAGAGAAAAGGGAACTCCTGTACACTGTTGGTGGGAATGTAAATTGATACAGGCACTGTGGAAAACAGTATGGAGGTTTCACAAAAAACTGAAAATAGAACCACCATATGATCCAGCAATTCTACTCCTGAATATACATCTGGAAAAAATGAAAGCAATAATTTGAAAAGATATATGCACCCCAATGTTCACAGCAGCATTATTTACAATGGCCAAGGTATGGAAGCAACTCATGTCCATCAACAGATGAATGGATACCCCCCAAAAAAACAAACAAAAAAAAATAGATGAATGGATAAAGATGTGGTAGACACACACAGACAGACACATACACACACACACACTGGTATACTACTCAGTCATTAAAAAAGAATTAAATTTTGCCATTTGCAATAACATAGATAGACTAGAGGGTATTATGCTTAGTGAAATAATTCAGACAGAGGACAAATACTGTATATTATTACTGAGATGTGGAATCTGAAACATACAATAAAGTAGTGAATAAAACAAACAAAAAAGCAGACTCACAGATATAAAGAACAAACTAGTGGTTACCAGCATGGAGAAGGAAATAGGGAGGGGCAATTTATGGGTGGGGGAAAAGCAGTTATTATCGGATTATATGAAATCATGCATTTGAAATCTTTGAAAATTGTAAAAGCACTATAGAATTTAAAGATTCTTTCAATTAAAATAAAAAAGTATGGGAAAACACAGAAAATACAAATAAATTATATAAAAACTCCAACCATTCATATTTATGTATATGGATTTGCAGAAGGAAATTACCTGACAGAGCTATAGATGTCCAGTGGAGTCTGATCCTTTTCTTTAGCTATTCTCATCATATCTAACACCGCCATCCCAAGACATTCTTCCTGTGTTTCATGAGTCACAGGTACTTTTATCCATCCATGCAAAAAATCATGCCGCCACTAAGATAAAAAAACAAACAAAAATTTAGAAGAAAATATCTCATAAGTTGCACTATCACATTTTAATCTACCACTGTATTTTAATCTATAATTTAATTTCCAGAGCATATGCATTTAAAAAGAACGTCAACTCATCCCTTGATTTTCAAACATTTTACCCTAAAATTTTAGAAGTTCCTTGCAAATGGAAACTGATTTAAATTTGGCTTCCAATTATAGAGTATTTTTTGACATCAGTCTATTTCACTGCTTATAACTTCAAACTGTATCTTCTACATCACAATTTCCTAAATTAAATTAATTATTAATTAATTAAAAACATACTGAGTTCCAAATATGTTCAAAGTATTATACTAAGGACTGTGTTAGATACAAAGAACTATAAGATGTGGTTTCTGCATCCAAGGAGACTAAAATGTAGCAGTGAAGTGAAAAAAGCAAGCAAAAATTATAATGCCAGACACTGTACACCGAGTGCCACACAACAGACACTTCAGGAACTTTAAAGAAGTTGAGATTATATTCAGTTGGGGTAATCAGGGAAGGTTTCACAGAAAATTTATCATTTCATATATTGTTTGAATATGAAATTTTTGATGAACACAAAACAGGATGAGGAAATAGAAGAAATGACACAAAAAGAAAGCACAAGGACTGTTCAGAGATGCAAACTAGTTTGGTTGGGGCAGATAATTTATGTAAGGGAATAGTGTGAGTTAAAACTTGGAAAAGTAAGTTGGGGTCAGAATGGAGGTAGCCTAGAAGCAATGGGTAACCATTTTCTTATAAGCATCAATTTCTTAAAACACCTTTTCTTACAGCATCCATTGCAAATACTTACTTCACCAAATTTTTGAAAATGGGCAAGTAAGTCATTCTGATTAAGAAAGAGTAAAACAACTGATGGCTATGCAGATTATTTTTAATAGTTTGCTTTGTTCCACATACTATACAGGACCAGAGGATAATAAATTCTGTTCATGAGAATATCCTGTAGAACTCATGCCCAAAAGATAATAAATATATGAAAAATTATTTAGAGCAGTGCTAGGAACACTATTAACCAAATGCCCATTAGAGAAAAGTTACAAATGAAACAAGAGTCTCAAATGTCAAAGCAAATTATTGTAAGCTAGCCTTCCTAAACATCACAGTGCCTATTAACAAAAATTTCATTTAAATAAAACGGCAGAAGAGTAGATTTTCATCTAGGTAGCTGTCAACATTTTAACATTTAACCAAGACATTTCATCTGCACTAAGAAAAATAAGAAAACAGTTATAAGCATAAAATCATAAATGAACCACTGAAGCATTGTTCATAAGAGCCAAAAGATAGAAGCAATACAACTATCCACCAACAGATGAATGGATAAACAAAATGTAGTATGTACAATGGAATGTTATTCAGCCTTAGAAAGGAAGGAAATTCTGACACACACTACAACATGTTATGAATCTTAAAGACATTATGGTAAGAGAAATAAGCCAGCCACAAAAGAGTGAATACTATATAATTTAACTTTTATGAGGTACCAGGAATAAGCAAATGCATACAGACTGAAAGTAAAAATGTGGCTGCCAGATGTCAGGAAGAAAGGGAATGAGGAGTTATTTTTTAATGTTATTTTAATTTTTAAAGGAGTTATTTTTAATGAGTTAATTTTTAATCAGTTAAGGAAGATGAAAAATATTATGGAGACTGACTGTGGTAAGGGCTGCACAATGATATAAATTTACTTAATGCCACTCATTTGTCCACTTAGAAATGGTTAAAATAGTAAAGTATATTTTACCCCACACACACAAAAAAGTTGGTTGCTCTCATATTGCAAAAGAGAAACATTTTTCAATTTGTTACTCATAAACTGAACTACTAGGTATCTTAGACATGTGAACTATGAGGATCTGCGAGGTTATATCCCATGATACTGGCAAGTCTGATTTAGAACTCCTTGATCTGACACCTTGGAGATATCAAGAACCTATCTTTACCCAAACATGCTAATGTATTTCTCTTCAAACCAAGATAATAGATAAGAAAGCAGTACAAAATGTTCAACACCACAAAATTTTACAATATTAATAAACAAATACCTAGAACACAGCTCTCAGATTGGGTCAACATCCAGCCACCCTCCTATGAGGGGCTACACAAATTATTGTAGCTCACTTTTTAAGTAGTTCCCACTTACATTTATGTGAATCATGTTGTAAACTCCGTCTAAATTTTGTGAAATCCTTAAAATGTTCTAAAGCTAAAAAAACAAAATTCAAAAGGGCCAATTCTAGGAATCTTTATAAAAGAGATTCTATTATCCATAAACCATGGGATTAAAAATTAGTGATAAAAGACTCAATTCTGTTACCTCTCTGCACCTGCTATGTAGACATAATGGCAATTTTCCAAGTTACAAGTATTTTCCTGATTAAGAGATACACTACACAGCAAGGTATTTATCATTTAACACATGCACAAGTAAGATAATATAATCATACCTGAGCAAAAAGGTAAGACATGACAAAGTCGTCAAGAAGAGGAGCTTCAGCACCTCGAGATATTCCATGCCGATAGGTTCTGTTGCTGCCATTACAATACCAGTAGGGAAAGTAAAATCTACGAGACGATTAAAACACTCAGTCCATAATAGTTCTAAAATAAAAATACTGTGCATATATAACCACTTCCAGCCAACTGAAAAGTATTATTCCATAATTAGAAAACACAACTAACAGTGTTAAATACAAACTGAGAACAAAGGGAAATATGGAAAAAATCATGGTAATAATACAGGCAGAAAATACAAGAAACATGAGTGTAAAATCATATTCTGCCTTCTGTGCATAGAACAGAGAAACAATAATAGAAAAATATAGAAATAAAATATTAACAAAAAAATTTCAATGTAACTCTAGGAACATTGGTAATCTGAAAGTGTTAATGTGGTGTGAAAACAAGCTACTGCTTTTTTTAAGAAACAGAGGTTAAAAACTTGCCCTTCAAAGAAACAAAAAAAAAAATTCTATATTGCTTTTTTATTTATACTTTTATTGAGATATAATTCACTTTTTTTTTTTTTAAGTTTTTGGAGGCGAGGTAACTATTTTCTTTGATGGAAGTACTGGAGATTGAACCTGGGACCTCATATGTGCTAGGCATGTACTCTACCACTGAGATATACCCTTCCCCCTAATTCACATAAAGCTCACCCATTTAAAGTATACAATTCAATGTTTTTCAATATATTCATAGCATTGTACAAACATCATCACAGTCTAATTTAAGAACACTTTAATCTCCCATCAAAAGAAACTCCATACCCATTAGTGGTGACACCCAAATCACCCGTACCTACTCCCCAGCCCTAAGTTACTACTAGTCTTTCTATCTCTATAAATTTGTCTATTCTGGACACTATATAAATGGAATCATATAAAATGTGACTTTTTCTATCTTCTTTCACTTAGCATAATGTTTTCAAGCACCATCCACATTTACAGCATGTATCAGTACTTCATTTCTTTTTATTGCCCAATTAAATTTCCATTGTATGAATATAGCACATTTTGCTTAACCATTCATCACTTCATGGACATTTGGTTTGTTTCCATCTTTTTGCTACTGTGAGTAATATTGCTATGAATAGTCATGTCCAAGTTTTTTTTGGGTGGATATATAGATTTTCATTTCTCTTGTATATGCACTTAGGGGTGGCAATGATCAATCATATGATAATTCTAATGTTTATCTTTTTAAAGAGTAGCCAAACTGTCTTCCAAAGCAGGTCCACTACTTTACATTCTAACAACAATGTATGAGTGTCCCAGGAGCTCACAATACTTGTACGGAGAGTTTAGCTACTAAGCCCATGGTATTGCTAACTCAGCATTCATTTTTTTTTTTGGCCAAGAGGCCTGTAGTGACCTTAAACTGACATTAGCTCCTTCACATAAGCAAATGCCCTAGATAGCAGCTTGTAGAGTCACAAGCAAATATAAGTTCCTGATATGACTTCCCCAATAGCCCTTGTGATCCAGTCTAACCTTATGTGCCCCTTCAATGAGACCCCATCTGGCTTATCAAAACCCAGATCTTTTGTCTTGTGGTAGCCCACAGTGAAAAAAAAAAAATGTGACAATGAATATATGCATGTTCATGTATAACTGAAAAATTGTGCTCTACACTGGAATTTGACACAACATTGTAAAATAATTAGAACTCAATAAAATAATGTTTAAAAAAATAGAAACGGGAAGGAGCGCATAATGAATACAACTATTCTATTCTTCATTAAAAGATAAAAATCGCAAAAATAAATAATATAATATAATATAATGAATTAAATAAATTTAAAAAATAAAAATAAATAAATCCTAATTCTATTATGAGTAAAAGTGGTGCACCTAGAATAAAATTATTCACAAGGGTTGAAAGTAAGGGAATAGAAAATAAATAAAGCAACACATGTGATATTAACATAAAAAAAACAAAAACAAAAACCCAGATCTTTTGGTTTGAACTGACCAATCTGGCCTTAGTCTAGGAACCCCAAAGCACTCTACCCACAGACCCTAATAAAGGCATGTGCTCCAGGTCCTGCTTCTCCCTGTCTGCACTGGGCCTTGACCTCCTCCTAGTGTGATCCCTTGAGGCATTTCCTCCAGGACCTGTGAGTAATAAACTTTTCTACTTCAATTCCTCTTGTGGTCTGTTATCAAACTGCACCTCACCATTAGGCACCCTGGGCTCCACTTAATAAGTGTTAATTTGACAAATTTATAACAGGTTGTTATTGTCCATCGTTTTTATGCTTGCCATCCTCGTGGGCAAAATGATATCCCATTGAGGTTGTGATTTACATTTCTCTAATGAATAATAATGTTGAGTATCTTTTCACATGCTTATCGATCATCTGTGTATTTTGTTTAGAGAAATAGCTATTCAAATATTTTGTCTATATTTTAATTGGATTATTTGTCATTGTATTGTTGAGCTTTAAATTTTTTTTAATATATTCTGACACCAGACACTGACACATTATAACTGACTATATGTCAATAAAAAAAAAGTTCTTCATATATTCTGGATATAAGACTTTAGTCAAATACGTGATTTACAAACATTTTCTTCCATTCTATTGGTTATCTTTTCACAATATTGTCAGTATCCTTTGATGCACAAACATATACTTTGACTAACCCCAATTAATCTATTTTTCCTCTGTTGCTTGGGCTTTTGGTGCCATATTGAATAAATCACTGCCTAATCTAAGTACACAAAGATTTTCTCCTCTATTTTCTCCTAGGAGCTTTATAGTTTCAGCTCTTAGATTTAGGTCTATGATCCATTTTACATTACTCTTTTGTACACAGTGTGAGTTAGTGGCCTAACTTTATTATTTTACATGTGAATATCCAATTGTTCCAGAACCATCTGTTGAAAACACTATTCTTTCCCCATGAATTGTCTTGGCACTCTTGTCCAAGATCTATTACTATAATATAAGAGATTATTTTTGGCTCTCAGTTTTATTCCGTTAATCTATATATCTAATCTTAAGTCAGCACCACACTGTCTTGATTACTATGGTCGTATACTGTTTTGAAATTAGGAAGTATGAATCGTCTTTGTTCTTTTTCAAGACTGTTTTGGCGATTCCAAGTCCCTTTGACTTTTATATGAATTTAATGATTAATCTGCCATTTTCTACAATAAAAATAGCTAGTATTTCAGTAGAGATTACACTGAATATACAGATTAATTATGGGAATATTGTCATCTTAACAATTTTAAGTCTTCCTATACATAAACATGGTATATCTTTCTATTCATTTAGATGTTTCCTTAATTCTTTCAATGATATTTTAAATTTCTCAGTACACAAATTCTCAGTACACAGTGCACATAAAATTTTTTATGCTATTGTAAGTGGAATTATTTTCTTAATTTCACATTTGTATTGTAATTACCAGCATATAAAAATACAATTGATTTTGAATTTATATCCTACAACTAGGCTGAGCTCATTTATTAGGTCTAATAGTTTATTAATCCCATAGGATTTTTTAATATACAATATAATATATCATCTGTGAATAGAGTTTTACTGCTTCTTTTCTAAAAGAGAGGCCTTTTATTTCTTTCTCTTGCCTAATTTCCCTAAATAGAATACATGGTATAATGCTAAACAGAAGTGGTGAGAGCAGATATCCTTGTCTTGTTCCTTATAATCCCATTTATTTCTGTAAGGTCATAGTGATGTTACCTCTTTCACTCCTGACTTTAGTAATTTAACATTTCTCTCTTTTTATCTTGGTCAGTCTAGCTGAAGGTTTACTGATGTTGCTGATCTTTTCAAAGAATCAACTTTCGGTTTCTTGATTTTCTGTATTGTTTTTCTATTCTCTATTTCATTTATTTCTACTCTGATGTGTATTATTTCCTTCATTCAACTTGCTTTGAGTTTAATTTTCTCTTCTTTTTCTACTTCGTTATGGTGGAATGTTACTGATTTATGAATTTTTTTAGTATAGGTGTTTATACCTATGAATTCCCCTTGAGGCCTTGTCTTAGTTACATATCATAAGCTTTGTTATGTTCTATTTTCATTTCTAGTCATATCAAAGTATTTTCCATTTTCCTTTGTGATTTCTTCTTTAATTTATTAGTTATTTAGAAACGTGTCAGTAATTACCACATATTATATATTTTTCAATTTTCTTCTGTTAATGAGTTCTTAATTTAATTTAAATGTGGACAGAGAACATAGTTTATATGAATTTAATCTTTTTAAATTTGTTGAGATTCACTCTGTGGGCTAACACATGATCTACCCTGGAGAATGTTCCACGTGCACTAGAAAATAATGTGTATTGTGCTGCTGTTGGGTGGAGCGCTCTATATACGTGTGTCTAGCTGGTTTAGTGTTGTTCCTCTATTCCCTTGCTGATCTTCTGTCTAGTTGTTCTATCCATTACTGAAGGTGAGGTATTGAAGTCTCCAACTATTATTCTTGAATTGTCTATATTCCCCTTCAATTCTGTCACTGTCACTTCATGTATTTTTGAGCTCTGTAGTTACATCTAATTTATAACAATTATAAACAAATATATAAACAAATGTTATTATGTTTTCCTGATGGATTAACTCCTTGATATTTATAAAATATCCCATCTTGGTATCTAGCAACAGTATTTATCTTCAAGTCAATTTGTGTGACGTTAATACAGCTGCTCCAGCTCTCTTTGGGTTACTGAATTCCTGGTTTATTTTTTCAATCCCTTACTTTCAGGTTGTTTGTATTTTTTGAATGTAAACTGTGCTTCTTATGGACAGCATGTAATTTACATTTTTAAAAAAAATCTAGTCCTCCAATCTCTGCCTTTTAAGTGTTTAATTCATTCATATTTAAGGCAATTACTGTTAAAGTAGTATTTATTATGTCTGTCACTTTTGCTATTTGTTTTCCAAAAGGCCTTCTAGGTTCTTCGTTTGTCTTTTTATGTCTTTCTTGTTCACATACTCCTCCATTACTGCTATAGATATTTTCTAGTGTATTATATTAAGTCTCTTGTTGTATCTTTTACTATATTTTTTTGAGTTATTTTCATAGGATTTTCCCAGAGGATTACAATTGACATTTTAACTAAACAATCTAGTTCTTATTAATATCTACTTAATTTCAACAGAATACTAAAACTCTGTTCCATTCCCTTTATTCTATATTTGTAATACAAATTACATCTTTCTATATAAGTCTTTCAATAGCTTTGCAGTTATTGCTCCTTTATGTTGTTTTTGAAATAACCCATACATATATAATAAAGGCAATGAAGAATTGCCTCTAAACAATAGGAAGGTGGGATTTTTAAAAGTTACATAAAATTTCCCTTTTGGGTAGTTTCTGGTGAGACTATCCTTGGAACTTTTGACTATAGGTAGCTATGGACATGTGCCCCCTTAATTTAAAAATAGGAAGAATTTATGAATTTGATAAGGGAAACATTTTTTAATTCTTGAGAAGAGGTCAGTAAACTAGGTCCCACAGGCCCAATCCAGTCGACTACCAGTTTTTATAAAGTTTCACTGGAACACAATCATGGCTTTTCATTTACTTATTGTCTATGGCTGCTTTCACACTATAATAACAGAGTTGAACAGCTACAACAGAGAGAGTATAGCCTGAAATGCCTAAAATATGTACTATCTGGCTCCTCACAGAAAAATACCACAACCACTGCTCTACAGATATTTTAAAATAAAAAGATATACTTGCAAATTGCAGAACACACAGTAATTATAGAAAGTGATAAAGAAAATATTCCCAATTAGATATTGATATTTTGTCAGTCATATGTAGCATACAAAAATACTACAAATTTGAAGGTCTTAAAGTAAGCATAAAAATCTTACAGAACTTTGAATAGATTTAATCCTAGGTCCCTTATGGGTTTTTTTAATTGGTTGTTATTTTAAATGACCTCTTTTCTGTTTGCTTGTGGAATATGGAAAAAGTTAACTTTTTAACATATTGATCACACAGATCTAGCCCTCTGATGCATGGTTATTATTGATGTCTGTAGATCTGTTCATATTTTCTATGTTAACAATCATATCATCTCCAAATAATGACGTTTTGCTTCTCTGTTCTCAATTATTAAACATTTTATTTATTTTTCTTGTCTTACTGTACTGGTTAGGAACTCCACTAAAATCCAATATACAAGCAATTATCGTGGCTATCTCTGTTTTCTATCTTGCTTCCGATTTTAAAGAGAATGTTTAATATTTTACTATTTAAGAGTATTATTTTCCATATATTTTTTATAGGTAACTTTTATGATGACAAGGATGTCTCTCTTGAGTCTTACTTTATTAAGGTTTCCTTTTCTTTTCTTTTTAAAATCATGAGTGAGTCCATGTTCTTTTTTATTATGCAACACTGACTCTCTGCATGGAATGGATCTGTTTCACAAGTGAGAACCACAGATCATCGTTTTGAGTCAAAAAGTACCTCAACTTCACTAAATCGGTATTACTTATAACCAAAAATTATGAAATAAATTAACTTGTAATTTGTGGTTGTAAACAAACACTGGTAAAATCTTATCTTTCCTTCTCTTCAACTTTTGTTAAAAGTTATTAAAATAAGAGATGTGAGATTACATATTATTGCACAAAACATCAAATTTCCTGGGAAACTGTCAATATTCCAAACATTTAGGATTTTGCCAGTATAGGCCGTTCTTATCCTCTTTAAAATTTAATTATAATCTTACATGGTAAGGTAGCATGCCATCACAACAGCTTTATTCTCAGAGCATGCTAGTTAAAGAACATGAATGAACACTTCCTCTACTTGAGAAAGAGTCTTAAATGAAGAAGATTAAATATTAATTGGTTCTGGTCTCTGATATTAAGGATCTTGCAATTAAAAAATATGGTTGATAATTTCTCCCACTTTGCCCTTTCACCATTAAGTTAGTTAGTCACTTCAATGGAGAAAGTACCTGATTCTGTAGAGTACACTGTGCTTGGTTGATTCATCTATATGGAAGACATGGTTGGGTGGATACCAGATCCTTTCTGTTTCACTCATTAAAGCAAACATACTATGATACACAGGTGTGATTCCTAGGAAGAAAGCAGAAAAAGAAGTGATAGTTAAAAGTACATTTGCATAAAATCTATCATCTGTAATGGGGCTGAAGTAACAACTCTTAAAATCAGCACAAAACACAGTAGCAGTCACAATCTTTTGGTTCAACACTACTCACAATGAATTCTTAATTAAGCATCTTTTTTCCCTTATGTTTTAAAATTTGATTGCTGGGATTCTTTCAAGTAGATTATAAAAAACATTTTATCTAATTTTTTAGTTGTCCTCTACACTAGGGTTGACCCAAAGTTGTGTGTTTTAAATAATAATAAGGGTACCAAATAACTAAAATATTTAGACATCATTGAGTGCTTTAAAGAGACTATCAAACAGTTTTATTTTTAAATGTCAAGTCTTACACAATAAACTAGTCATTATATCCTGTTCGCTATTTAAACATACAACGAAAAATTTTAAATGTCAACTTAAAATGCAAGAGTGTGTGATTTTTCAAAAGATATTTTAAGAGGCACATTAACAGAAGACTGAAGGCCACTGAACTTTTTAACACCTAAGTCACACAATTAAATAATGCATATTATTTCTAAGCACATAGCGAACATTCACACATCCACACAAATACATACCAGCCATGTGGAGACTAAAAACAAGTCTCCAAAAATGTCAGAGAATAATCATACATATCATGTTTTCTAACCACATCAGTTAAATCAGAAATGAATAATTAGGGAAAAAGAGTTTTTAATCCTATAGATTTGTAAACAGAAGTCTCACAGAAAGTACTTTTATTCTAATGTTGTTTTCATTCTTTTCAACTGTAGACAAAATGACACCAACTTGACACACTGACAACATTTAAAATTTTTATTTTAAGTTATTAACACAACTGTATATTCATAAATATGTTACAAAAACATTATTCAGTAACAACTTTTAAGCTATATCCTTGCATTCATTCTTTTTTTTTAATAGACTTTATTCTTTTAGAGCAGTTTGAGCTTCACAGCAGAATTGAGCAGAAAATATAGAGTTCGCACACAGCTCTCCCAATCCACACATATATACTCCCCTACCCTCAACATCCCTCATCAGTGTGGCACATTGGTACAATCGAGGAACCAACGTGGGCACAATATTATCAACCAAAGTCCATAGTTTACATTAGAGTTCACTCTTGATGTGTACATTCTATGGGTTTTGACAAACCTCGCATTCATTCTCGAGTTTACAAATACTTCTAAATCTCCCACAGGTCATAGGAGAAATTATTAACACAAACTAAAAAGCATTCATAATGAATGATGATCAATATCGTGTATTAAAGTACAGAATTTAACTAAGTTACACTCAAGAGGAAAAACCATAGCTTTAACCTGCTTATATTAGAAAGTAAAAGAGAATGATCTAAGTTATCTAACTCAAAAACAAAATGATTCCACATTCTTTTATTTACTTCCTCTTCTCTGTGCACAAAATGTGTCACATAGCCAGTGATCTAGGTGCGTAAGAAACAGAGTGGGAGATGAAATTGCCTAGGAAGGGGTCATAAAAGACCTGATAAGAGATTGCCTTGAAAGAAAATACTCAGAAGAGAATCTTAGCAAAAAAGCAGCAATTAGTTTAAATGTAATGCAAATAAAATTGTATATGGGACCATTATTTCTAGCATATGATGACAGGGATATTTTTCTGAACAAGATGATGTCATGATTTTCAAATCATAACATAATGACACAAAGCAGGAAAAGTGAACTCATACTGACGAATCATAAGGATTTTTTTTCATAAGGATATTTTTAAATAATGAATAATGATTTCTTAACATAAATAAGACTCCATAATTTAATGACAGGTATCAAAACAGGAAAATAAATGCATTTATATAAATTGGCATAAAGGGGTCATGAGATGGGGATACACACCAAAAGAAAAATGGTTAGGTCTCTCTGCAAACAAAAGCAAAAGACAGTACTTATAATTATGCTTAATCACACTATCTTATTTCAAAATGACAACTATATATTAATACTTTTTTTTCCTTAGTAATTCATGTTAACTGGGTTGTCCTAGAAAGGAAGAAAAGGTAATGACACTGTATTTGAGATACATATACTGAAAAGATTGGATCTCAAAGAAACCTCAAGGTCATTTTGTCTCCCTACACATCAAGTCCAAATTATTTTTATTTATCAATAACACTTCAAAGTGTTTCTTCTTTTCCAAGACATTACCAGAATCATGATTCAATTCCATATCATTCTAGACCAAGAACAGTCATCATTCCACTAATATTAACAATCTCTATTCTATAATATGCACAAGATGGGTATGGAAAATACAAAAATGAAAAATAATGCCAAAGTTTAAGGATCTCACAGTGTAGTGGATGACACACAGAAGCCACTGAAGAATTATAACTCAAGAAAGTAAGTGCAATGATAGTAAAGACCACAAGAAAACACAAAAGGACAGAGAGGTGACAAAGATTCTTTGCTTGACCAAATTTTAGTCAGGCTCCTCTGAACCCTCTCCCTAAAAAGTCCCAACCATGTTATTTCCTGGTAGAATCCAGTTTAAGCAGAAATCCTGCTTAAGTTCATTTAGAAAGAATTATCTACCTTTCATATCTGATCAAATTTCTCACTCCTATTATCCCCTAGGTGATATCTGATCAACATGGCCTGCTCAGCAAAAATCCTCTGTTAGGCTGGTTCAGCCAGAATCCCACCTTGGACTTAATGTCCCTCTTAGTAACTTTCCACTTATCAATATCCCCACCCTACTTGCTCCTTGGCTATAAATTCCCACTTGTTCAGACCGTACTCAGAATTAAGCCCACTATAAACTACATTGGAGTAGCTTCCCCTACCACAATGGCTGTTTAAATAAAATCCATCTTTATCACTTTAACTTTTGTCTGCCTCTGGTTTCCTTTAATAGAGGTAGAAAAATTATCCAGAGGGTCAAGTGGTGTAAAGATTTCAACAAAGGCTTCTGAAGAGATAACGCATAAGATGAAAGCACATGAGGACTTAGCTATTCTATGTAATTGCAGGCAGAGTATATAAAACATGCACAGGCATGGAGGATCAGCTGCAAATGCTCATGGAGCTAAAATGGTTACACAGAAAAGAGACATGCTGTACAGAATAGAGTTACAGAAGGATGAGCATATAACCTGGCTGGACCAAAATAGCTTTGTTTTATGCCTCCTGTCACAGCATAACTATTAATAGCCTATCTTTTCATATTGAAAGTGTTCCAGTTTGAACAGCAGTAACCTAGTTATATAATGTCAGCTTAGAGTTGGATATAGGTTAAGTCTGAGCTCAGCCATTTGCTAGGTAAATTTGTGAGAGTTACTCTCTCTAAACCCATATTTCATCATCTACAGAGTAAGGAAAAGAAAACTGAGTTCACAGAATAACTGAAAGGATAAAATGTAATAACATGAATAAAGTGCTTAGCAAAGTATATGGCACATAAATAGGTTCCATTCTAAAGATTCCAGAAGTATAACCTAACTGGGCTTTATAAACCTATATAAATAAATAGTTTTTTGTTGTTGTTACCCCAAGTTGAATGAGCTTAGACCAATACTTTTCAAACTTCAATGTGTGTAAGGATAATCTGACAACTGTCTTAAAATATGGATTCTTACTCATTGATCCTGGGAAGGGGCCTGAGATACTGCATTTCTGACAAAATCCTTGGTGATGCTGACACTGCCAATCCATGGAGCACTAGATAGATTAAGCAGCACACTACCCACTGCAGAAGACAGGATTAGTCAACAAGAAGTAGAGTCAATAAACGAAGTCAAAATTAAAGCACAATAAATAACAGAATAGGAGAAACTGAACAGAGTATAAAAGGCATGTGAGATGTGTCAATTGGACCTAATTTACATGTTGAAGAGATAATGGCCAATAATTTTCCAAAACTAAGCAAAGATACTGACCTACAAATTCAGCAAGCTCTGAGAGCTCCAAGCAAGATGAAGTCACAGAAAACAACACCAAAATGAAAACCAACAAAACCAACCAAACCAACCAAAAACCAGAGTCAAACTGCTCAAGATAAATAGTAGAAAAAGTAATTTTTTAAGTAGCCAAAGAATAAAAATGTTTTACCTTCAAAGGAGTAATAAAAATACTGATAGGTAACTTTTCAGTAAAAAACCATGGAAGCCAAAAGACAATGAATGAAATGACATCTTAAAAATACTGATTAAAAAAAAAGCCACCATAGAATTTTATACCCTGTATAAAAAAGGCAAAATGGCAAAAAGAAAAACATTTTCAGATAAACAAAGAGCTGAAGGAATCTGTCACCAGCAGATCTGCAATACAAGTAGTATTAAGAGTTCTTTAGGCTGAAGGAAAATGATGACAGATGGGAGCACAGAACTATAGGAAAAATAAAAAACATCGGAAAGGGCAAATATAAAAGAATAATGACTATTTAAAACAATAATAATAGAAGCACTCTGTATATTTATGATGTATACAAAGGTAAAATACATGGCATCAGCACCAAATGAGAAAAGAAGTAAATGGAGTTAAACTGTTGGAAAGTTCTTGAACTACTTGAAAAATAACATACTAGCTTAAAACTGTAAAAAGCCAAAAATGTACATTATAATATCTAGGGTAGCCACTAGAAGAAAAATACAAAAACTACTACAAAAAAATCTAAAAGAAGAGATAAAGTTAAAAAAAAAAAAAGCTGATCAACTGAAAAAAAGGTAGAAAAACAAAAAAAAATATAAACAGATGAAACAAATAGAAAACTACTAACAAGATGTTAGATTTAAGCACAAATATGTCAGTAATTACATTACCCATAAATATAAATAAGCCAATTAAAACGCATACCCTATCAATCTGGACCATATTCAATTCATATTATTTATGAGAGACATACTTTAAATGTAAGGGTACAGATTGGTCGAACCTAAAAAGAAGAAAAATGGCATACTATGAAAACACAAAGAAAAAGAAACCTGATGAGT